CCCTATCAGCAAATACATCACGATGACATAATTATTAAGAATATAATGAAAACCTGAAAATGAAAAATCTTAAAGCTTTTCTGAACCTATCTATATGGCTGAAGGTCTCAGTGAACTGTGGTAAAGTTAGGGTGTTCAATATGTTCAATAAGCAGAACATAAGAGTGTTAACTAGTACCACTCCCGAACATTTGCTTTAGGCCAGGAACCCTAGATGTCTGAGAGATACCATGAGAAAATGACAGTTGTCACAGAAGAGGCTCCACATACCATGGTCACAGAAGGGACACAGATGAGCAACTAAGATCCATTATTCATTGGGCAAACAATGAAATTCCCTGCAGAAGTAATATTCGTATCCTATGTTCTTAATGCAAATGTCCTCTGCTCTGTGTCAACCACACTTTAAAATCATCTCGGAGAAAGAGCACAAACTAGAAAATGAACTATCTCAGCTACACTAATAAATCTTAATGAGTCTGACTTCCATGATATAAGCAGAAAAAAGAAAGCATCACCATACATACAAAGGATGGGTGGGTTCACAAATCGAAGGAAAGCACAAATTCAGGCTGCAGGAATGTAACTACCCTAATCTAATATCCCTGTCAGAGTATCTAGGGACTACAGTGAGCAGGCAGAAAGAAAATTAAGCAGTAGCTCACAAAAAGCCTCACCTTGTAAAACGCTAGAGCTGTATGCTTCTTCCTAGGGGTATTGCAGAAATGAACCAAAATCACTAGCTCAGTCTGAAGAGAGTAGTATCTGAGTCCAAACAGGCCTTAAAAGATTTTATCTGGGTCAGGGCACTGTTTTCCTGCCGGTGAAAGCCTTAACCACCCAGAAGACAGGAAGAATTATCTTCTTCAGAATCTTAGGGTTACTAACTCCATAAAGGCCTTCAATAGTTCCTTCTAACTTTTCTACCCTTCGATGATTGGGCTTTGAGGACCCCTCCTGGCATCTCACCAAATCAAGCGGATGCTCTGGCTAAACTAGACACAACGTTACCCTCGGACATACTCTACATAAACACAGGCATTATTCCCCTCAAGAGTTACACTTGGAAAACAGGTATTGAGAGCCAAAATCTGGGGTTGTAAAATCCAACTGAACAAAGGGAAATTTTTTTTTTTTAATTAAGGACTTTAGGTAGACATTTGTTCAGATTTGAAATCCCGGCCTGGTCTAACACTCAGCATTTAACACAGAAGAAAATGGCATGTTGTGTTATCAATTTTTCAAAAGAAAGAGAAACAAAGTAATCAAATCAATGTGGACAATTTTAAGATGCTTGTAGTTTACTGGCGTGGCCGCACCACAAATGAAGGCAGGGAAATTATCCCATTTCCCCACCTCCTCCACCATCACCCCCACCACCACACAACACCACACACACAAACACACAATCTCTGAGGTTGACATTCCCATGGGGGTTTAGAAATATACATGGCAAAAAAAATCACCCCCACCTCCGCCCCACAGGGCAGCAGGATAACTTTTCCAGCTCAGGGCCTCTGCTGACCGAGCCCTGGGGACCCCCTTTGGCCCCTCACCAAGTGAGGTTCGGCTGACAGCGCTGACAGCTCCCCCTCAGCTCCAGCTCCCGTTCCTGCCGCCCCCCGCTAGGCCCCGGCCGCGCTCACACCCCGATCGCCCGGCTCCGCCAGGACCCCGCGTGACCCCCCACGGCTCCCGTTCTACCCCACGCTGGGCCGGCCAGGCCGCACCGAGGGCCGGGGCGGGAGGAGGAGGCTGCAGCCGGGACCGGGACCTGCCTGGGGGGCGCCAGGTCCTCCGGCCTCGAGCCGACCACCCCCTCCCGCGCCAGTCAGTCACCCGCCCTTCCGGACCCGCTCGCTCCCCGGAGGCGGCCAGACGCCTCCCTCCTCCTCCTTGGCCCCGCTCCCGGCGCTTCCTCAGCCTCTCACCTTTGACTACGCGGTCTGCCCCGGGCGGGGGCGGCGGCGGCGGCGTCCGCGCCGGCTCCGGGGCGGCCATGCTCGGCCCTGGGCTCTGCTCAGCTGGGGGGCCGGGCGGGGTCGGGGGCGGGGGCGGCGGCTAGCAGGGCCTAGCGGCAGCGCCGCCGGGGAACATGGCGGAGCCTCTCTCCTCCCAGCGCGGGGGGACCGACCGGCGTGCACCGCGCGGGCGTGGGCGGGGGCTGGGCGCGTTCGAGGGACCGGAGCAAAATTACCGACCGCAGGGGAAAAGGAAAAAATAACCGGGCCAGTCCCGAGGTGAGGGGTCGGGATAAAGTTCCTGCGGGCAGCGGAGCCTCGCGAAGGCTCGGAGGGGAGGAGACAGACTAGTGCGGGAGGAGAACTCGGTTGAAACTGGGTCTCCTGCGCGTCTCTCTGGCTCCCTAGAGCTCAGTGCTTTGCCTCTGCGGCTTTTTGCCAACAACTTATCCTGGCCATAGCTCAAGGGTGCACAGTTGTTAGCGCATCTTCTTCCCGTTAGACTGCAAGCTTGTTGAGGGCAGAGACTCCCTTTGGCCCTTTTCTTTTTTCTGTATCCTCGGCGATTTACTAATTTACAAAGGCTGACACGCGGTGAGCAGAAAAGTGAGCTGACGAAAACAATTTAGGAGATGCTAGTTTATTCGACCTACAAAGGTTTTGAAAAAACCAAATGAAAATTTCTATAAAAGGATTTGCAACGGTGAAGAACCGAGCTATTAGAGTCCAGGCTGGAACAGCCATAATCGCGAGCACCTTGGAGGTATGCAAAGTGCTTTTCCAATGTTGCCTTTGATCCTCTAGACAGTCCTGGGAGGGAGGGAAGGGCTATTATCCCCATTTTACAGTTGAGGAAACTGTAGCAGACAAATTGAAGACAGGCACACAGCTAGCGAGTGTCTGTGAATTAAGTCCCTGATTCCAAGTGCAGATCTTTAACCTTAGTTCCCCTGGTTTTTGTTGTTGTTGTTGTTTATTTGCTTGCTTATTTTGGTAACCCTAACTCTAGTAACTGCAAGAATGAGTCAGGCTCTAGGAAAGCGTTTCAGCTACTGAGACTGGAGGAGAGAGGACCCAGTTGCTAGTGGCTTCCCTCAGACATTTACCTTACAAGCATGCTTGTATGGATTCTGGATAATGGAAGATACTCTGGAGCTTTCCCAGTCACCATCGGGAGTGAAGCAGGGCTGTGCTCTTTTTCCCTTGCTTTTTAGCATGATGTTTTCATTGGATGTTGTCAGATACCTTAAATGAAGACAAAAATGGCATCAAGGTTGGCTGCCGTACTGATAGTAAATTATTTAGCCTGAAAAGGCTTCAAGCCAGGACCAAAGTGGCGGGAGAGTTGGTGCTCCACTTTTTGTTTGGAGATGATTGTGCACTCAATGCAGCCTCTGAGGCTGAGGTGCAACAGAGTATAGATCGACTCTCTGCTGCTTGTGCTAATTTTGGTCTCACGATTAACACCAAGAAAACAAGAGATTCTCCACTAGCCAGCACTACACCATCCATACATGGTACCATCAGTTACATATAGCAAATGAAAAAATTTTGAATGGCTATGGATAAATTCACATAACGTGGCAGTATGCTTTCCAGGGAAGTATCGGTAGATGATGAGGCTGACAAACGCATTGTCAGAGCTACATCAGTATTTGAGAGGCTCCAAAGGAAAGTATGGGAGACAAGATATATTAGACTGCTTACCAAGTAGAATGTCTACTGAGTCATTGTGCTGACCTCATTGTTGCATGCTTGAGACCTGGACAGTCTACCAGTGCCAACCCAGGAAACTGAATCACTTCCATTTAAATTATCTTAGGAAGATTCTGAAGACCACGTGGCAGGATAAGGTACTAGACACTGAGGTCCGTTTTTGAGTTGAACTTCCAGCCATTCAAACTCTACTGCAGAGAGTACAACTATGATGGGCTGGTCAGGTTGTTTGAATGCCAAAGGTACATTTGCCTAAAAGACTATTTTATGGAGAACTCATGCAAGGGAAGTTATGGGAGACACTGGCACAGAACTCCCCAACATGGTATGCCTGAATCAAAGAAGGCGCTGTATTGTGTGAGCAAAACAGAATTGCAGTAGCTCAAAACAAACGTGAGATGTGCAAATTTAGAGACATCTCCACCCCAAATGTTCATGTGGACTATTTGTGCCCGACCTGTGGTAGAGCCTTCTGAGCTCCTATTGGTCTGATCAGCCCCAGTTGGACACATGGTACCTTGACCCCAACATAGTGATGTCAGTGAGCTCCATAGGGTCTTTTTGTGTTTTTGCCTTCCTTTGTTTAATAGCATTTAGGGAGCCCTTTGAAAAGAATGAAGATTTCAGAATGGCCCCATTTAATTCTACAATGTGGATTTTGCCTTCATTATTCAACCAAAGTTCACCTCTCTTAAGTTACCAATGTTCTCTTAATTGTTAAGTCTCAGTGGCCTTTTCTCGGTCCTCATACTCCTAGAGCACTCGGAAGCCTGTGATGCTGTGGGCCACTCTCTTTTTCGTATTCTCTTCTTTCTTCGTTTTTGTGACCCTGCTCTCTCCTAGTTCTCCTCTTACCTGTCTGATCCTTTGCAGGATCACACATGTTAAACATGGAAGTCCTCCAAGGTTCTGTCATGGGCCCTCTTTTCTTCTTTCTCTGTACTTTTTCACTTAACCTCATCAACTCCCATGGTTTCAATGATCATCTGAATGGAGATGATTCTCACATCTACTTATCCAACTCTATCCTTTCTCCCACCCTCTAGTCTTGCATTTACAAATGCCAGTTAGACATTTCAAACTGAATGTGCTGGACAGAATTCATTTTCAATTAATCTATTGTTCTTTCCATTGACATTGTTGTAATCTTAGAGTGCTGGGCTTGGAGTCAGGAAGATTCATCTTTCTGAGTTCAAGTTTGGCCTCCGACACTTACTAGCAGTGTGACCCTGGGCAAGTCACTTAATTGTTTGCCTGTTTCCTCATCTGTAAAATGAACTGGAGAAGGAAATGGCAAACCACTCCAGTATCTTTGCCAAGAAAACCCCAAATGGGGTCATGAAGAGTTGGATAAAATTGAAAAAAACGACTGAGCAGATTTTAATATTCTAAATAGCTCTATGTCAGTACTTGTCTCAGACTAGGTCCTCCTGACAACAGGAACAATAATACATGAAGTTTTTTTATATGGTGGTGATAAGCCATCCTAGAAGATGGGAAGCTCTCAAGAATGAAATTCTGAAGACACAAGGGGAAACAATTCCAGTGAAGAAGACAAAAGGGAGCTGTCTAAAGAGACCAGTGTGAGTATACAGAGAACTCAACAACCAAAGGCAGATAAAGTCCTTGGTGCAATGATTTTTTCATTCTTTGTATTTGTATATACAGGACCTAACACACACAGTCGGTGCTAATTGTTGATTAATTGATTCATGGACAAAAGAAATAGAACAGAGGATAAATGACATCTCTATAAGAAAAGTGTCAGGAGTGATCAGACTGAGTGGCAGTTAGCCATGACAGCTAAGGACAACAAACAAGGTGTGTTGGTTTGGTTTTTTTTTTTTTTAAAGAAATTATGGAGAAAAGAGCACCATATAAAGGTTATATCTGCTAATGGGGAGGGCCCAGGGTGGGTTGTATGAGGCAATAACCTATTACAGAGCTTTTTTTTTTTTTTTTTTTTTTTTTTTTTACTTGGCTCCTCTGCCAAGGAGATGATCTTTGGACTGGAAAAACAGACTACAGCTAAAAGGGAGTTGATATCCAAGATAAACTCGAGAGTTTAAACTTCAGAGAGTAAGAGAGCAGCCCTTTGATGAGTTCAAGTCACCTGGCTCATATAACTACATCTTTGTGATACTTACATGTGATTAAGCCACTGAGTGATTTTTGAACATATTTTGAAATGACAGTGAGTAGTTAGGAAATGAATCAGTGCTCACAGAGAGCATGGTTTCATCAAATATATGTCAGGACTGAGCTATAGAGATTACCCAAATTTTAACAAATAATATACTTGTCTTTCATGCAATTTTTATGGAAAAGATGGAGGTATAAACTATAGGATAGTATAATTAGCTGAATTTGAAACTAGGAAGGAGGTCTAAATAGAACTTCTCAGGAATCTTAGCTTGGTTCTGTTGTTAACATTATCATCAATGATTTGGACTAAGGTGCAGATGGCACACTTATCTAATCTGCAGATGACACAAAGTTGGGAGGGAAATTGAACACCCTGGCTAACAGTCAGGATTCAAAAAGTTCTTTACAGGCTAGAACAAAGGGCCAGGTCACATAAGATGAAACAATGTCAAGGTTCAAAAAATGAACTTAGTGAGTATAAGATTGTGGAGACATGGCTAGACAGGAGTTTGAAAAAAGTCTGCAAGCTAAACACATTAAACATGATACAGCAGACAAGAAAGCAAATGCAATTTTAAGTGGCATTAAGAAAGGTATAACATCCTGGAATAAGCAAGAATCCTGTCCTGCTCTGCCTTGGTCAGAATATTATGATCAGTTTGGGGCACATTTTAGGATGGGACATTGGGAAGAGGGAAAGGAGAATGGCCAAGGACTTAAGTTCATGCTGTATGAAGATGACCTGAAAGAACGAGGAAGGTTTAGAGAAAGAATGCACAGGACAGACCCCATAACGATCTTCAAATATTTGAAGGGCTGTCACTTAGAAGTTAGATTCTTTTTTGCTTGACCCTGGTAGGTATAAATAAGAGTAAGGGGGGATAATTGCCAAGAGGCCAACTGAGGAATGAACTGCCTCAGGAGATGAAGTGTGTTGATTTAGGGGGTGTCATCCCTGAAGTGGATGACCTTTGGTCATCTATGTCGGAGAGGGAATTCTTTGTTATGAATTGGACTAGATGACTACTGTGGTCCCTTCAATTCTTCGATTGAGATTCTTCGATTCCTTGAACTTTCCCATGCCCCCACATTCCTCTTATTCCCAATCTCCCTTCACAGGTGAATTCTTTTCACCCCCTCTCCATCAGATAGGCTGTCTGCCATTGGTAGAACCAGCCTCGTGGTAAGTGGGAGCTTTTGACTGCCCAGGATTCCCCTGGGAAAAAAAAATGAAAATTTGGTAGTGAAAAGGATAGGCAGCCAAGATGGTAAATAGAACTCTCAGATTTATTCAAAAATACTTTACAAAAACAGTTATGTTTGGCCCTAAAATACTTCAACTTATTCTGAGTGTTTACAATGGCAAGTGAGTGAGTGGCAGTAATGGATATGCTGCTTGGAAGAAGGGTTAGTGTGCTTGACTTGGTTAGTGTGTCTGTAGGAAGGCAAGGATATAAGTATATGTGCTGGCAGCTCCACCCACATTCTCCACTGTGAGAAGTGTGGGTGAGTGGGTATGCACATGTATGGGTGGGAGGGGAGTCTTAGAGGCTAGCCTCCTTGACCAGCTAAGCCTCCTTCAGGTCTTGGTCAGACACAAGACAGAGATAGAAACTATACAACCATATGTGTCTAGAGGAACTTGGGGAGGAGGTGGGAAAGGAATTAGTGAGGTGGGCAAGAGGGTTGTAGGGAAGGAAGAGAACAGAGGAGGAAGAGAAGAGGTCTACAGAATGAAAGAGAAACCCTAACCAAAGTTGGGGGGGGGGGGGGGGGAGGGGAAGGGGGGGGAGGAAGGGAGAGGGGGGAGGGGGGGGGGGGGCAAAAAGAGGAAAAGGAACCCGGGGGGGGGGGGGGGGGGGGGGGGGCGGCAGAGAATGGGACTGCAGCAAGGGATAGGGACAAGGAGATTTGGGGACAAAATCAGGTAGATGACCTTGAGATGCTGATCAGTGACATTTCATGGGTTGACCTTTAAAATTCTGAGTGGCTCTCAGGCTACGATTAAGTCAAAATTTCCCTTTGGCAGCATCCCATCATAAAGCAGCTGCCCATCTTTTCAAGGAGAATTTAAGCTGGGATTCCATCAGCCAAGTGTCCCTTGAGATTCCAGAACCACTGAGGACACAGAGGTCTACACTGAAATGATCCTGGCACAGCAGTGACAGCAGTATTGGGCACCAGCTCTGACATGGCACATTAATGTGAGAGAAAAGAATAAGCCAAGAAGAGTAAAGAAGAGCCCCTCACCACCCACTGTGCTGTGGGGCTGCAGCCCAGGTCAGCCCCCTTCGATGGACATCTGAGGTGGCAAAAAGAGGCCCATTTCCTCCTGTTCTCCTACGTCCAGGTTGAGAGGCATAAGTGTTCTTCCTCCAGTCTTCATCAGGGGGTATATCCACTCTTCTGGGTCCAGGGCCTCGGGAGGAACTAGGAATAAGGCTGGAACTCTTTGATATCTCCAGGGGCACAGAAAGGGTGCTGGGCAATGATGATGGATGGCAGGCAACGGGAGAATGTGAGTGTGAATGAAAGAGTCTCCCCCACAACTGGGCATGTGGACCCTGGAGTCCCTGGCTTCTGTCTGGCAGTGTGGCAGTGTCGGTCAGCTGTGGCCAGAGCCCTGAGGTGGTTGAGGCTCTGGTCTCAGAATGCTGGTTGGTCTCTGGCAATGGGCTCCAGGAGGAATCAGCTCTTGAAAGGCGTGGGAGGCTTGTATAGTTCAGGGTCCCCCCTGTGTATTTGGCCCCTCGGGAAGCTTCACCCCTGTCACACATAACCAGAAGCTGTTGGACACTCCTTGAAGTTCCTTAAGAAATTTTAAAAAAAATCACAATTACTGAGTACTTCCCATGTAGGCCCAATCTATTTCTTCCTTCCCACATGACCATCCCTAACCCTCATCCTCCCTCATCCTCATCATGTCATTTCCCATGACGGTTTTTGTGTCTTTATCCCATGTGATATATCTATTTTGTTAGCCACCTAGATTCTAGACACCTTGAAGATAATAAGAGTGCCTTTTCCTTCCTCCATTTCATTTAATGAGATGGGCTCTGTATTCAGGAAGTACTCAGTACATGCTGATTCCTCCATGCTGGGTGGAGGCAACTGAGCACTTGAGTTAATGTGTGTGTTCCCATCCAAAAAGCCCCAATTTCCAATGGTCAAATACCAATGACACCCTTGTGTCAGGCTTCTCTCTCCATATACCTCCTCAATCTATATACCACATGGCCTCAGGGCAAGGAGAGGCCCTGAGGCTGGAGACAGAGCCCAGGAAAGTAGAGTAATGAGGGGATCATGCTGAGAAAACAGTAGGGAGTGATTCTTGGGATTGGAGGCTAGAATTGCCCACAGAAGGTCCACACTGAATGGTACAAGTGTCTTCAGAATCCCTTGGTTTATAATTGATTAGCTGTGCTTGGACAGTTCAAACTGGGGTCTGACCCCTGCAGACTACTCATGTTTCTTTGTGGTCATCGAAAAGTTTGACCCACCATAATTAGAGGAGCTCATCTAGGCCAGTGGGGGACCTAAAGGAGGGGTTTAGACCCCTATCCCAGAGGCTAGGTCAGGGACCACAGAGGGGGCCACTTGCCCACATAGATGAAGCATGATTTAAAGTAGTCATAATCCTTGTGGACAAAGCTGTTGGCAAATTTAGTATTTTCAGCTCAAACTCTGGTGTCATCTAACCTTCTTTCATGTTAGTTAAATCCTGACCAGGGTAGAGAGAAAAAGAAGAAGCTCTGAGAAACTCAGATTTCCTTTGTGCTTGCTGCCCTTCACACAGTCCTATCCCTTGTCCTTTCCTCTAGCCCAGAAATGATCTAATCACAATTCTGACTTTGATACTTAATCTCAAAAAGGAGCCCATAGCCCAAATTCCATTCCCACCTCATGATTCCAATGTAGCCAGCTCAGATAGGCCCCCAGCAGAATAGACATTCCTTGCACAGGATCTGGGACCCGAGAGTTACCTGGGGGTCTATGGGGCTCCCCTGCCATGGTGGGCATCAGGACATCAGGGGGCAGGAGCTGTGGCTGGGGAGGGAGGATCTGGGGATGGGGGAGGAACACAGGAGGGTCATGGATGACAGAGAGGGAGGAAGAGCTGGAACAACGATGCCTGGTTTCCAAAGGCTTTTTCCTCACGTTTGAAGTTTCCTTATAATGAAATGAGACAAAAAAGAAAAAAAAATAGAAATAAGGATTAACACAGCAGGGTGTGATTGGGAAAACACAGTAAGGGCAAGTAAGGGACTAGGAACAGAGAGAGGAAACTGAAGCAGTAAGAATTCTTGAAGGGTCTCCAGCCTGGCAAGTCACCCCTGTGGGCCTAATCACTATACCCTAGAGACACCAAGCTTCAGATCTGCTCTTTAACTCACTTTGGTAGTTGAGGGCCTACTGCGTACCAGGCCTTCAGGACAGAATCACAGATGCACGTGTTCCTCTCCTGGAGCCGACAACCTCATAGGCAGAAGGGCAGGGACAAACTCACAAAGAGCTAGATTTGAGTATTCTCCCTGTGACCATGGGCCAGATAGTTAACAGCTGCCATCTGTAGTGAGGGAGAGAGACCAGGGGATCTCAAGGAGAAGTCCGAATCGGTCCCTGCACAGAGGCCTCCTGCAGCGACTCTCTCAGCTGTAGATTCTACAATCCCATCAGAAGAAGACACCCACAAAGGAGACATCTAGACGAGGTGTGAAGGGAGATGTGGCAGAGGGTGGCTCAGTGAGGGTGTCATGAAGGCAGCTGCATCTGTCTGGAGAGAGGGAGGGAGGAAGCCCACTCCCTTCCAGGCATCACAGAGACGGGAGTGGGAAGGATGAAGACGAGTTACGGAAAGGAACCCAGTTTGGCCAGATGTAAAAATACATGTATTTGTATCCTTAACGCGTAGCACAGAGCCTGGCACAGAGCTCCTCTGCTGCTTGCTGCTCATCCATTTTTCCTCAAACAAGGTACTTCACACAGACGTGCTTATAATGTCAATGCTCCAAATCTCTATTTGTGCAGCTGTTCAACATCTTTAGCCAGGGAGGTGGACATTCACTGAATTTTTTCCCATCTTTGTTCTCTCCGGATTGACCGAATATTCCTGGAGGGAAGGACCTTTTTTCAGTTTTGTATTGTGTCCAGAAGAATGCCAGGTGCAGAGAAGAATTTAACAAAGGTTTTTTTTATGGTAATGATGATGCTAGAATATAAGTTCTATGACAGTGGAGTTTGTTTTATCCTTTTTATCTATATCCACTATCACCTAACACAGTGTCTGAGCAGGTGCTTAAATGTTTAATTGTTGGATGAAGGAAAGCTGCATGAGTTATCTCATGCCCCAGTGGGTGGATCTGAACCAGATTTTGGAGAACACTAAATTCCAGAGTCGATAATTTTGAGTTATTTCATAAACAATGGGCAGCCACTGAAGGTTTTTCTGCACAGTGATCTGATCCTATCAATGTCTTAGGAAGATTACTTAGGCAGCTACTTGATGGAGAGATTGCAAAGGGAAGAGAAGCAAGAAGCCCAGTTACAAAGTTATTACAAAGGAGAAACCAACTGATTGGTTTTATATGGTGAAGGGAGAACCATAGAGAAGGCTCTAAGGTTACACATCCAGGAGGATGAGAGGATGATAATGTCCCTGAGGGAAGCCCCAGGATGTGTATCCTTATCACCCATTCCCCAGCCCTAACCCTTTTTCAAGGGTGTGGTTGGACCTGGGGCTAAGGTTGGGAAGGATGGGGATTAACCCCTGGGTTAAATCTCACCCACATGAGCAATTATTCCCTAAAGATAGAGGAACCAAATCTCTGTGCCAAATACCAGCCAGGTCTGACAAGACCAAGGAGTCCAGAGGGATTCTGGGAAGCTAATATTACTAGGACAACTCCAGTCTCCACATTTAACTTTAGCTTACAGTGTATTTGAGTGAATGTTAGGAAAAATAATTAACCCCCTTCTGCTGAAAATGGGAAGGTTCTCAGAGAGGCTTAGGAACTGGTGAATAAGGAAGTTTCTTGCCACCACAAACCAATGAAGCAGGACCCCATGGAGCTTCTAAGTGGACTAATATTGAATGTCATGGATACTGAATATAGCTGTGGTCAAGGGTCTACTGCTTTGGCCTGGCATATGGGTGTTCTCAAGCTGCTTTTGGATACTCCCTGAGAAGTCCAGGATCACAGCTGGCTGGAGTTCACCCATTCCTGACCCACCAGAGCTCAGGCTGCGAATATTCTATGGAAGCCTCAGGGAAGCTTTTACATCCTCCTCCAGCAGCATTGAGCTCTAGAGGGCCTCCTAAATTTCACATTACTCCTCTTCATGGATTTTTTTGTTCCAGGGAAGCTGGCCACTTACTGCTCACTGAGCTTGGCCCTGTCACCTCTGTATCAGTGCTATGGCTCTGGCTGTCTCCAAGCCTGGGATGGCTTATCTTTCCGCCTCCACCACCATGGAGCCTTGGCTTCTTTTGAGGCTCAGCTCAGGCAGCATCTCCTACAGGAAGCTTTTTCCATTAACTGTTGTGAGTGCTCTCTCTTTTCTCAAATGATATTTTAATTATTTAATCTGTTTAAATGTTGTATTCCAGTAGAAAGAATGTGAGCTCCTAGAAGGCAGGGAATACTGTTTTCTCACTGGATCCTTGATACTTGTGCTTTGTATGTAGTAGGCATACAATAAATTTGAGGAAGTGAATGAAATTTCTCCTAGTAAAGGTGACTTCAGCTGGAAATCAAATGCAACTTGAATTAGTGACAGTTACCCTTTCTTCATCTCCTCTCCTCCTTCTTTTGGCCAAAAGGTGAGGTTCTGAGGAAGGGAACCCCAGCAGCCCCTTTTTCTGTTGGGCTTTGTCCGTGGGGTTTTCTTGGCAAAGATATTGGAGCAGTTTGCCAGTCCCTGCCTCCCTCAAATTCAAGCCATTCTTGTATCCTTCATTCTAAAGGTTCTAAAACAAATTTCTCCAGAAGAAAATGATCAAACTACTCTAGGCAAGGAACACCTCTCTCCATCGGGTTCTTCCTGAATGCATAGCTGTCAAGAGTGATAACCGACAGAAGTCAAATGAGGTAGTGGGCGCTGCCTACTCACCTTCATACAGATCAGAAGTCCAATGAACACTTCCCACAGAATACAAGAGTCAGTTTTTGTTTATCCTACTCCCTGAACTTCCTCCAGAGCACTTCTTTGTATTCTGGATAAGCTAGGCCTTCATTTGACTTACAAAACTGTGAGAAGAGATGGGGGGTTCCTCCCTGCCCGAGACCACAGTGCCACTGAGACTGCGTGAAATGCGTCGGAAATTCTCTGCAGTGTATAGCTCTCCTTCATCCTCCTTCAGCAAGCCTCGGCAAGATGCGGCCTTCAGAGAGAGTCATGGACAGATATCTGACACACCCCGATCTCACATGTACCCCGAGAAACTCATTCAAGCATTCAGTCTTTTTCTGTTAATCTCTCCTCATCTGTTATCTCCATGCCGAACCTCCCCTACCCCTGATACCCTGAAAACCTCAGCCAACTTCTTCCCAATCAACCTATGCCCAGTGTCCTTGCCACCAAGATTATTACCTGAGAGGCAGGTACCATGCTAGCCCCATGGAGACTGTGTTCGATTTCTATTGCTGGCATCTGTGAGAGATCAAAGCCAGGGGCCGAGTGTAGTCTCCTCCCTACAATGTTTGTGGAGCCTGGGAAAGGAAATGTAGACATAAATGGAACACTCCCTTCCTGGAGGGTCTGAATTTTGAGCCTGGCAATCCTGACTGATAACATAGGTTAAGTGGAGGCAGGAAGAAGGTTAAGAATATGGATACCTTTCTGCAATAACACGGGTCCCCACCCTAAGCCAGAGGGCCTTGTGTAACAATCTCTGGACAGCTGCACATTCTCCCACATAGAGCCTTTACCAACAGCCTCATCATCTCATCTGATTTTTGGAAGTATGCCCAGCTTCTGTCAGAGCCTTTAGACACAAGTGTATGTTTGTAACATTCACTTGTGAAATTTATCTGACATGGTAGCTCTGTGGAGAATCTACGGTGGCAAAAGAAACCTGGCTTCTTCCCTGGGGGACCCTTGATCTGCCTAGCACTGCGGTGGGTGTGTTATCTTTCCTGCTGAGCAGTGGGGCATAGTCATCAAGCTTGCTCTCAAGCAGCATTTTGTGCCTAGACTGTCCTACTCCTCAATCAGTATCTTTCCCGACATCAAGCACACTACCTGGTACATAGTGAGTGCTTAATAAATGCTTGATGAATGAAGTCAATTTTAATGCTTACTGAATAGTTCTTAAAACATGAAGCGTTTGTATGTAATTGAGCACTTAGTAAACACTTTGTGCTAAGACATGCCAGACAAGAGAACCAGGAACCCCCTGGGGACTATGCTCGCCCATTTCTTGACTGACACTGGTCAGCCCTCCCTACAGAGATCGTTTCCCAGACTCATCAATGCCACCTGCTTAGTTTATTCTTTGTCTCTTCAGCACTCGTGCATTCAAATCCTACCAGGCACTATTCAAAGGAAAAACTGATTCAGGTGAGAGGAGATTTTGATGTGTGAATATTTCAAGGATTGGTGAGTTGCCCAGAGTTGGGACTCCCTCTGCTAACCCAGATGGCCCTCCTGCCTGCCAAAGGAGAAGCTGGTACATGCTCTTTCAGTCCTTCATCCTCCTGGGCCAACCTGGTAAGCCCAGTGTCCCAATCTGGTTCAGGTGGTCCTTGGGCCACAGATGAGTAAGTCTGTTACCAGAACCATACAAAAAGGCTTTCTAGATTCCTCCAACTCACCAGAGCTTGTGTTTCGTTAGTATACAACCTTCAAGAACCCAGGGTCACCTGTATACCATGGTGAGGTGGTCTGATTCAATAATTTTAGAAAATAAATAGGTTCAGTTATATTTCAGTATGGTTTTTAAAAAACCACATAACTACAGAAATTTCAGTTCAATTTGCCATTGAATAAAGAAATTAAGCTCAGTCTGGGACTTGGTACAGCTAATTTCAGGTTTTGATTCAATTCTTGATTTGCATTTTGTTAGCACAAGGCAAAGAATTTTTTCTTTAAGTTCAAAACTGTTTTAAGGAAGCTCCCTCCAAGGAGGCAGATCAGCAACTTGCTGTGATTTATAATCAGAGAGAGCTACAGGGGGATGACTAGAGGTTAAATGACTTACCACAGTCACCTAGCCAAGATGTGTCAGAAGCAAGCCTTAACAGAGTAGGTACATAATACTTCACTGGCTGAAATGGCATGCTAGAATTTGTAACTATGTTCAAAAACGCAACAAATTCATACCGTTTAATCCAGTGATAGCATTACTTGAGCTATACTCCAAAGAGATCAAAGAGAGAAGAAAAGGATCCATCCATACAAAAATGTTTATAGCAACTCTTGGTAAAACCCAAGGACTGGAAATTCATTAAGTATTCCCAATTGAGGAATGGATGAACAAATTATGTAATGGAATGCTGTTGTACCATAAGAAACGATGAAAGGAATAGTTTCAGTGAAGCTTGGGAACATTTGCATGCTACTCACCTCCTGCTAGAGAGGTAATTGACTCAGTGCAGAATGAGATATATTTTGGGGGCGTGGCCAACATATTGTTTTGCTTGACTTATGCATATCTGTTATAAGGATTTTGTTTTTTCTTTTATTTTTCAATGGTGGGGATGGAAAAAATTATTTTTGTTCATTGAAAAAAATAAAATGGGGGCAGCTAGATGGCCCAGTGGATAGAGCTCTGGCCTTAAAGTCAGGAGGATCTGAGTTCAAATCCAGCCTTGACACAAAACACTTACTAGCTGTGTGACCTTGGGCAAGTCACTTAACCCCATGGCCTAAACCGCCTCCCCCCAATAAAAGAAATTGCCATCTTGAACTATGCCTCTAAAGGAACTTTAAAAAAAAAATGTAATAAAGCTGGTATGCTGGGTAATTGCAGCAGATGAGCCTGCACCACTATGGAAACTACATGCTTGAGAGAGAAAAATTAATAAAAATCACAGAACCTTAAGAGATGAAAAGGACTTCAGAGATCTTTTACTTTACAGATATCTACTCTAGGCCTCATGTCTTTTTATGTGCTATTCAAGGTCATACTAATTTAGAGCAAAGCAGAGACTACAGCCCAGGTATCTTGATTCCCAGTCAATTACTCTTTTAGCAATTCTGAAAACAAAATTCATTTAAAACTGAAAATCAATTTTACATTTTTCAATTTTAAATGGATCCATCTTTGTACTAAAAAGGTCTATTTCACGCCTCCTACCTGCATGAACAAGTCAAACACCTGTGATGTGACCCTAAGCTACAGACATTATTATTATATGATATATATCATACAAACATATACATATATACGTGTATGTGTGTGTGTGTGTGTATGAGATATGTGTCAGAGACACACACCACCCCTCACCCCAAAGGCCAATAATTGGACATAAATCATAGTCCCACAAGCTTTGAGTTTTAGGAATCAACCAGAGATTTCCTTTAGAGAGGCTCATATTAACTTTAAACCTAATTCTGTGTGAAGGGAGCAGGGCAAGTTGAAAACTTAATGATTCTTTATAAAGGTCTGGAAATGTCATGCTGGAGACTTGCCTTACTAGAGCAACCATAATAAAAGGACAGAGCCAGAGGAATACTTCTGGTCCCAAAGCCTACTGGCATGCCTATTTTCCTTATCCCATTAGTCAATCCTCTGTACATCACATCATTCTTCAATATGTTCCCTAGTTCCCAAGTACAGGATAGTGAAGGGTGTAGACTTGAATGGCCTCTAATTTTTAGGGGGCAGAAGTCACTGGCTAGAGGGTCAGGGATACTTTTTAACAATCCTACTCCCTATTCCCCATTCCAGACTGAGAAAAATTATTGATATTTGTCCTGATGGTTTCACTAGTTATTAGAAATGTAACCATATCCTAATGCAATGTGCATGACTAATTGGTCAAAACTCACCCTTACCTCTTTACATTTCCCCAGCTCCCAGTTTAAAATCCACCTGCCTGGTCACGTGCTTACCTGGATGCCCAAGTGGTTGCCGTGATAAATCCTGCCTCCCTGGCCCAGGCTGGCCGGCCTGAGATATCTGCAGACTGGCCTGGTAAAGAGACTCCAACTCGGAGGTCTCCTGTTCTGTGTCCTCATTCCAGTGTGGGTGTAGATGCATATGGTTTCTCTCAAGATGGATGAGACCAACGCAGGGATCTTGAGGGGAAGGGTTTCTCCCAGGCCCATGAATCCATGTGCCATTTTCATGATCAGGGTGAGAATCAGAGAGCCTAATGTTGCCCACCCAATGGTCCAGGGACAGAGAAGTCACTGAGTCATCACCACCGCCTACCTCCTTTGGCCAAACATCTTCCATTTGTGACAGCCTCCCTGGGAGCACGGCTGATTCTGCCATATTTAATCCCGCTCCCCAGGGAGCATCACTGCTGTGTGGGGAAGGACTTATACAAAGAGCATGGTGACTAGAGGGCCCTTCCCAGGAAGTCTGCCTATCCCTCCCATCCAAAGAATGATGCTGTTTTTCCCAAGAAGAGTGACCATTCCCTTGTCCCTGTGGGATAGGTATCCTAGAGTCTGAAGGGGGCGACTCCTTTTTCAACCTAGTTGTCAGTTTCCTATCTTGGGGACTTGTAACCACCCAGTTTTTTTCGTAAGTATGATCCTTTGGGGAAACCTCATGCATTCTCTGGAACTGCTCTGCCAGGGAACGAACAAGTCCCTTTGTGCTGGGGACTTCTGGCTTCAAGACCTCTTCAGTGCCTTGTTCCCTTTGTGAAACATATGAAGTTTCATGGCTATTGGTTTGGGGGCACCTGTTAGTTTTCTGTGTAGAATCTGGAGGAAAATGAAGCAAATGTGAGGAAGCAGTAGGTACTTTTGGGTGACAGGCCCCAGGCATGGGGAGGCTGGACCGAGCTGGACAACTTGAAGGATTACAGCCAGGGCTGTGTGAAACCCCCCTGTCAGGGGAGACCATGGGGGCCAAATGTGACCAGGGAGGCACCAGGGCAGGTAAAACTGCAGGGTTGCTTTTCTCTTGGCACTGCAGCTGGCCAGCACTTCTCCCTTCCTGAGTGGGAGTTCTGCTGCCGCTGCTGCTGCCCCTGCAGCCCAGCAGCCCCTCTGCTGGGCCTCCTGCAGGTTCCCTACCTTGGGGAGAACCCTTCTCAGGCCTCCTCAACTTGTGGGATGAGCCTTGCCTGCAGAAAGCAGAAAAAGCATGGCCATCCACATTAGCAGAGGAAGTCAAGAGGTTGGGGAAGGACCTTCTGGGGGAACTGGGCTGTAGGGTGGGTGGAGAGGGTGACTCTGAAGACAGTAATGAGTGCGATTCATGGCAGGAAGCAGATGAGGGGAAAAAAGAACTGGTTCCAAACTCGGTGTCCTTGCTTGGCTCCAGCTGTGCCTCCTGACTCAACAGTACTTGGAGCGGGACAGACTGTTCACTGAAATAAATGGGAAGAACCAATCATTAACTGTTTCTAATGGCAAAAAAAGTCACATAAAGAGAACTGCTAATTCTGTTTGCTCTGTTCATAGAGTCAACATGATTCTCCACAGATTCTTCCATGTTCTGGATAATAGAAATAAACAGAGAGGCAAGCACAAAATCAGAAATTGTTTAAGGGGTTCACAAACAAGAAAGCAAATGGTTAACTCTCTCTCACACACACACACATCACACACACACACCTCAGTCAAAATTCACCTTTTTCCTGAACTGATACACTTTCCCAAATGGCCCTCATCAAAATGATACAATCCCATTAAAAGGAGCCTCTGCCTGTAACTCCCACTGCCCCCTGCACTCCTGCTCCATTCATATTCTGCTATAAACTTGCAAACTAAAAAAGGAAGAAAGAAATAGGTTGCTGGCCAACATGTAGACGACAGAAAGAAAGCAAGGCCTGGAAATGGCTCACATCCAATGGCAATAACCTAGAAGGGAGGGGTCAGCAATAAGAGAAGAAGGGAGAAGGGGGCAAAGGTGGTGTTAACATGATATGGACAGCTTTAAGGTTTGCAAAGCACTTTTCACATATTTCATTTAATTTTCATAACAACTCTGTGAGGTATGTGCTGTTATTCTCCTCATTTTACAAATGAGGAAACTGAAGCTAAGAAAGGTTAAGTGACTTGCCTAGAATCACACAACTATTGATTATTTGGGGCAGGAATTGAACCCATGTCTTTCTGATTCGAAGTCCAGCACTCTATCCAGTACAGAAAAGTATCCCATCCAAAAAGACCATATGGGTTCTATCACTAAGTCGAGGGGAAGTGGATCTTCGGTCAGGAGATTTTAGTGGAAATCAACTACTTTATTTTATTTTTCCTAATCAAATCCAAACTAGATAGTGTTATACACTGAAATCTTTCTCCAAAGCAATAATTAGATTTTTGAGATTTTTTTAATTTAATTTTTCACTAATTATTGCTTTTATACCTTATACTTTAAAGCTCCACAATGTGAATAGTCAAAGATAACAGTAATCACTGAGATTAATCAACTTGTTTAGATGTTAATTGGGACTATTTCAGCTATTTAGTACTGATCAACTACTTACTAAGTTGACTGTTTTGAAATCTAAATTGCTTACATTTAGACCAAGTCCCTATGAAGTCTAATCAATGACCTAAATAAGGGTTAAAAAACAAAATGGAAGATCCTAGGTGTAAGCAGAATAAATGATCCTCTTTAGAACTGCCCCTTTAAGTTTTAAAATTAGTATTATATGTCCATACAAAACCATTGAATTTATTTCTTGTAAAAGTATGTCCCCTTTCCATCTGAAGTCAACCTACCAGTTTACCCTTTTAAAAAATCCTATCCATTCCAAAGAGATCCACTTTCAGAACAATAGCTTTGACACCTGGAAGTGGTAAGGGCCCCAACCTTATGGAAACCCTCAAAAGGAACTAGGATTTTCTTAGAGGTGAATCTCAACAAAAATCTTAACAAAATACCTTCCGCTCTCTCTGTTCCCGTGGGGGATGGGTGGCACTGTGATGATTAGACACACAACAGATGCTGCTCTGAAGGTACATATTCAAGGATAAATTCCTTAGAAAGCAGTGCCCAAGAAAAGTGGCGTACACATCACCAGGCTACACAGATCACGTGAGTGCATGGGTATGGGGCTGGATTCCCTCAGGATGTTGGGATAGGTGGTCTGTGCACTAACCCATATTTTTCCGGATTTCTACAACAGTCTTTGGAGAAGCGAGTAACAGCAGTCTAAATTGCTGGCAGTTCTGAGTAAGCGACCTGCAATCACCAAATTTGCTCATCCACGGTGTGACCACCCTATTTGCATGTATACACTACTAAAAGATCCTCTGCAAAAAAGATTTCAATTTCTGCCGAGAGCAGAAATCCTCTTTCCCTGGCTACTGAGTTGGGCGATAGCTCCATTCTCATAGACACCAGGGCATCTTTACTATGCCAATTCCCTAGCCTCCAAATATTGGGCCACTAAAATGTTCTGGACTGGGAAGGGTTTCCCAGGGCTGGATGTGTGCTGAGTAGAATGCTGCACCAAAGCTGACCCATGAATTTGCTGTGTCAGTCCCCAGAGGCATCTGTACCTACCTATCTAGGACAGAGAACTGCAGCAGAAGCCTGCGCAAGAGAAGAATCATCACCTGCTTCTAGATCATGAGCCTTGACTCTTTAAGGAAGGAGGCTAAGACTAGTTTGTCTTCTACGCATCCTCACAGATCTTTGTCTACTTGTAGGCTGAATTACTGTCACCAAACTAAGTGTGTCTTCGAATCCTAGCTTCCTCTAACAGATACCATTTCACTACTTCTTTTGTTGTTATTTCTCTTCCAGTTTTAGGGAGAAAGATAAAAACAACCATCTTCCTGTGTACCTCTCTCTGTTTTAATAACCAAGTTTATAACTTTAGCAGGACCTTCCACTTTCCTCACTCTACGCCTGATGTAGAAAGTGACATTTACTTGGTGAAGGGAAGATTTTTCTGGGGATTCCTCTCTCTCCTTCCCAATCTACCAATGCAGGAAGAGCTCTCTCTCTCCAGAGCACCCACAGTGTTGTGACCTCCCCTGATGTCCACGGGCTGTCACGATTTCCCAGGCACTACCTTGTTGGCTGAGGGAGGGAGCCCCCCAACGGCGGTGGTGGCGGCGGCGGCGGCGGTTGCTGTTGCTGCATGCGATCCTGGAGGCTCCGTGCTTTTCGGATACAGATTTGTAACTTCTTATCAACTATGGTTCTGCTGAGCGTGCTAGAGCTGGCACCATGCAGGGCAAGTCTTAGTTTAGCTAAAATGCAAAACAAAAACAAAAACAAAAACAAAAACACACAGCAGAAACAGAACACACACACACAAAGAACAAAATTGAACCAAAAATGAGCAATGAAATGCAGTAACTTAAAAGATGCAGCAGGAGCACAAGACATAGAACATGCAGAGGCTGCTGAGGTGAGGGAGCTGGCTGGACCCTGCCGAGAAGACATCTTGCAGCACCAAAGCCAAGGGGTCACAGAGGGAATTCAGATCAATCAACGGAAGAAATGCTGGAGTTTTCATCTTATTTCCCACAGGTGATTTCTATGGCCTTCCCAACATGGTTGCCAGATTAAACCTTGGTCTTCATGCCCCAGCCCAACCCCTGCCTTGTAACTGGAAAAAGTCAGGAAAATCAGGACCATCATGAGACATGCAAATACACCTGCCTTTCATCACAGGACTACTCAGCTGGGGGGGGGGGGGTCATACCTAAAAATCACTTGCCAGTGATAAGCTCTGGGGTTCTCCAAAGCTCATGCTTCAACCCCTGCCAGTGCCCAGGAATCAGGGAAAAGAAGTAAGGGGAAAAGCACATACTCCTGTGGAAAGTTACAGGCCCAGGGTCAGAGCCTGTTTACTCTGTCCCAAGAGAAGGCTGCCTTCCTGGCGACTCCTGCCTGCTTCATTCCTTGATCGATGAGGAGACAGACAGAGTGGGTTGTCCCAAGTCAGATGCAGTCTTGGAGCAGGGGACAGAGGGCACTCCAGCATCACCTGTGGGATCTTGCTGAATTCCCTCCAGGTGGTCCCCAGAGAGCCCTTGGTGTCCAATTGGAAGGCCCAGACACCAGAGGGGCAGCTGAGGCCAGCAAGGGCTGCCGCCGGGCCAGGCAAGCAACAACAGCAGTGACAGAAGCTGCAGCTGAAAAGCGTGACAGCTTTGAGGAGTTAGTTACTTACAAATTGCTTCGTTACAGAGAGCCAAAGCTGCAGTACAGTCTCCTCTCTGCTCACGGCGCAGCACCTCCTCCATCATCAAGTCAGCCTCTCGGGTGGACCTCTCAGAGCGATCACGCCTCCCTGCAAGGGCCAGCACTTGATGCGAATGGGGGCAGGTGGGCAGGCGCCTCCATCCAGCTGTCTGCCACAACCAGACAGGCCATGGAAAGTCTCTGGGACAGGGTTGGGGTGCCCAGCACCCTAGACCTTCCCAAGTGCACAAAGGAGGCCCAGCCACCAGCCACCATTTATCATTAGGCTACGAGTTCTTGGTAATCCCTGCCTGAAGAAAGCACACGATGGTATCTCTAGTAGCACAAAGGACAGAAGGAGAATTTTTTAATAGAAAAAGAAGTGTAGAGAGATACAATGCTTCATCTGTTAGGATAGAATAACATCTCTGCTAGAGAAGGAAGCTGCCAAGCTTCCTGATTTTCTGACAGTCACACTGGTCACTGGCTGGAACCAACTACTGTCTCAACACCACCACGGCCAGACGTCTGGCCCCTCAGGCAGCTCCTCGCTGCCTCCTCCGAACAACTACCTTCAAGCTCAGAGAGTGTGAGGAGTCCCTAGGTGCCCACAGTAGTGCCCGGTAAACAAAGCCCTGATGTGTGGTTAGCAATTCTAGGAAAAGCTTCAGCAACAGAGGTCCGTATACTGATGGAAGGAGTGTTTTGTAACTTATAAGGGAGACAAGGCAAGCACCCCCATTTTCCATATGGGGAAACTCAAGCTCAGACAAGCTGCCAGAGTCAGCTGGCTAATAAATGGTGGAGCAGGAACGTGGGCCTCATCAGTCTGAAGCCCTGTGTGGTCCTCTGTCATGACAGCACACTGCCTCAGCACTGAGGGCTGCCCCCAGAACCACTTCCCTCTGGAGGCTCTGTGCTCCAAAAAACCCCCCAACGTCAAAGTTCTTCGGTCATCCTGAATCGGAGCCCGGTTTTGGAGTTCTTGTTGACAAACTCCTAATACAAGTCCCCCCAAAAGCAACTAGGCTGGCATTGCTGCCAGATTTTGACACTGCCAGTACTTTTATCTCCTGTTGAGTTTTGGGATCAACGATATTTTTCAAAGGCTCCTTCCCCTCTTCTCCTGGCCACCTTCCCACCACACACACATACATTTTCATCAATGAATACGGGGCTAAGCTCTCTTCTCTAAAAAAAGATTTGTCATGGAAAATAATGTCCAAATGAAAGAAGTGGGAAAAGTATGGTCATAGGCCAACTCCTGTGCAAGGATTCTGTTCACCTCAACCTGTTGTTGGCTCTCACCCACTCATAACCATGATTTACTTGCAAACTCTAATGTGAACTGAAGCTGTGAGTTTTCCTAAAAACAAACTGAAACCCACTTCTCTTGATAAGCCTTGTGGTCCTTCCTGGTACTAAGTCATGCCTATCTCTATATGGACTTGGGAAACCAGTTCATGACTTTTCTTGGTTTTTAGACTCAAGTAAGAAGGGTCAAGATATCTGAATCACCTGTTACAGGTTTCCCACTCCTTTTAACTGAGGATAGAGGACAAAGGGCCTTAGGAATATGTACTATGTCCTCAAATTCTCTTGCTCCTGACTTTGAAGGCTCCTAGAGGAATTAGAGGGAAATAGCAAGAATACAAGTTTGGCTCTAAGAAGCTTAGAACTTAGACTCCTGATACTCCTTTGGTCTCAAGTTTTGAGTATTCCCATAATACAGAACCAGTTGAAATTGCCAATACTAATTTACACACTCAGATATATGACATTAAGGTTACAAGATTCTCAGACCCTGCAAGCAGAGCTAGACAAAGTAGGTGGATCACTATGCACCATCCCCTTTTTGTTGTTGTTATTCTGTCGTGTCAGTTGTGTCTGACTCTCTGGGACTCCATTTGGGGTTTTCTCGGCAAAGACACTGGAGTGGTTTGCCATTTCCTTCTCTGGCTCATTTTACAGATGAGGAAACTGAGCCAAACAGAGGCTAAGTAACTTGCCCAGGGTCACACAGCTAGTAAGTATCTGAGTCCAGATTTGAACTCAGGTCTTCCTGATGCCAAGCCCGGTGCTCTATCCACTCTGCCACCCCTTTCTTAGTCCCTTCAGAATCTTAGCCACCCAGGCTTCTCTCATCCAGAAGTTGCAGAGTCAGCGAGAGAAAACTAAAAGTGAAATGCGGTCAGCAGATTCCCAACACATTATTTTGATATGATGGCCAACTAGCTGAGATAGCTAAATGGGGAGAGTGAAGGTTCCTCTTTCAAAAAGAGCATGAATCTGGGAATGTGATGTTCTAACTCTGAATCGCAAAGGAAGAATAATAGAAAAATTAAAAAATGGAGATTATCAAGGGCAATGGAATTAATTCAAACATATACAGAGAAACATGCTTATTGATTCAGGAAATATAAGGAAAGAAGTGCCCTAAAGTTTGGGTGAGAAGCAAAGAAGGGTAGAATTGTCTAGGACTGTCTAGCATGGGACACAACCCCCAGTAAAGCAGGAAGGGAGGAATCTCCACAAAAAGGTGGTCCAAAGAAACAGCTTACATTCCAATTCTCTACACCACTTATAAAGTACATCTAACAAGAATGTGTAGCCTATTTTAAAGAAAGAAGAAGTAAAGCCAAAGTGATAGGAGTCACCTGTGCAGTCAAGGGCCAGGCCTCAGGTTTTCCAAACCTGTGTGTTCTTGCTCAAAGTGACTCCCCAAAAAGATCACAGAAGACGAGACAAGGTGAACAACCACACTACAGTGGCCCTCAAAAACCTTCTTCAGACTACATGGGATGAACCTGAATAAAGTTTACAGTCATGGAACATCCTTCCCTTCTCTATTATTCAATTTAGGACTTATGCATAGTTACATTCTCTACTTCTAACGACGGCAAGTTTTCGGCACGAAGAATTATCTTTTGTCAAAAGGCATTCCTCCCTCCTCCCCCCTTTTAAACCAGATATTTGTCCTCCAAACCAGGGACTCTCTCCTCATTCAACAAGTTAGTGATATTCTAGCTTGACAGTGTCAAACTTGGAAAAGGGGAGATAAAGAAAAATGTCATTTGAACATTTCTCTCTTTCTGTCCGCAGCCTCATCCACAAGAGTTACCCTGATGCTGAAGCTCGTCCAGGTCCATGAAGCGGCTGGGGTGTGGGTTGAACCCTCGAGCCTCCTCCAATTCCTTCTCCTGCTGCCTTCGGAGTTCCTGTTCCTGGGCCCGTCGAGTGACCTCTTCCTGGAGTTCGTCCAGCTCACTTTTAGAGGATAAAGACAACTCCCTGTCTGTGAGACAAAAGAAAAAACTCCACTTTACAGATTAAGTCAGAAGCCTGGAGTCTATTCAATTCATAGTCAGGGTAGTGAAATCTCATAATGGTTGGCATATGGGTTAGTAACTGCATACCGTTTGGAAGGAGTGTGGGCCCAAGTACTAAGAGGTGTGCTTTTCCTGACTACCACTGAATCAAAGGGGAAGTTGGAACAAGTCCCTTCACTTCTGCCTAGATTTCCCCCTCTCCATTATGACAGTGAAGACTCAACACAAGAGTTCAGGAATGACCAGACGGAGAGTGGCATAAATGCTGAAAGGAAGTGTTGGAAAGGTCAGTGAAAAGAAAAAGCAGACCAAGGTAGGAGGAGCAACGGTAGTACCAGAACAGTCTCTCTGCTGGTTGCCGTGCACTGATGGAGGCACTGGGGCACTAAAGCCCGTCACCCTCCCAGCCCCCTGGACTTATCGTTAGGCTCAAGGTTTGGGGAGCCACTCAGTCAAGCACAAGGTCTAGAGACCACTGAGCTGGAAAGCTGTTGGCTATTCTGGAACCCAGAGGAAGGAGATAAGACTGTTTACATGTGGCTGGAAGTGAGAGTGGCTAAGGAAACAAAAATGAAAGAAAGAAGCCAAACAAATGCATCCATTAGGAAATACAAGGTGACACTGAGACAGACGCCTTTCCCAGGGTCCTCCCCAATCATTACCATTAACTACCAGCCCTAGAGTCCAGGGAAGCCAGAGACACCTGCTCCTACTCTGCCTTGTTCAGCTGTGCCAGGCATCAGATCCCTACAGCACACGTCAAAGATGTCCCACGTACTGATTTTCATGAGCTATTGCTACTACATCCCCCTGCTCACTGCCTATAGGAGTTCTCCTGGAGGAGTTCGTGGTCAAAACAATGCCTCTTCTCCTTCTCGGTGTTCAGTGGTTGGGATACCCTTTCTTTCCACTCTTCCCCCACCACCTTTCCAAAGGACTGCTAAAGGCCAATAGACTTTCACTATCCTTCCCATGGTTTACAAGGTGGAGTTGTTAGTGCAGTTTTAACCTTTAATAATTTCAAATTTTAAATGCTTCACACACACAAAGAAAACACTTGAAGGGGTTATTTAAAATTTTAAAATACTGATGTTTCTTATTAAAATTCAGCACAGCCACCACCTTGTGCTATATGTCACTCCAGTTGATTTTCAAACTTTGTAAAACTTTTACCAGTTGCTGATCAGTGACTGAAAGGACTGCATTTGTAATTCTAGCCTTAAGATTGTCCAAAGAATGAGGTTTTAAAGCATTCACACATTTTGATGTGATCCTACAAGAAAAAGTCTGATACAAATAAATCAGGTGATTGAGATGGCCAAGTAAGAGGACCTCCTCTACTGATCCACTAGACGGAAGGGTCATCCAGAAATCGTTGAACACAAAATACAGAATGACGAGGTGCCTCGTCTTGTTAAAATAAAAATTTATTTTTTAAAATTCACAAAACTAAATGAGTATAAATGAAATTTAAATAATTAAAACTTTCAAATTTTTTTTATAAGTTTGTAGCAGTATTTATGTTTCAGAAGTTATTAAAACTTTAAAGTGCACTAAAAAATTTTAAATCCCTGGGATTAGAAATCGCCCTGAGCCCTGAAGTCAGAAAACTCAGGTCTGAATCTTGCTTCTCACATCATTTGTGAAGTGCCAAGGAACAGCCCATCACCCTCTCTGAGCCTCAGTTAAAAGGATTTTGCAAACCCTAAAAAATCATGGGAATCCCAGTTAGTCACTGTTTAGAAGGGGTCAAAGCTTGCACACCCGGTCTAATTTCACTCATCAGAATATCCTTTGGCCCCTTAGGTAATCTAGCCCTCAAGTACCTTGCTACATACGAAGTTTCTTCCTCTTGCCTGAGTTTAATACTACCCACACTCTTAACCTCTAACACAAGAAGCCCATAAGGATGAGACAGGAAGTACGCATAAAATCGTCCTTCCAGGAGCCTGGGGCTACAGGCCAGTTGAGGTTTTCTTTTCTTTTTTTTTTTTTAAACCCCTACCATGTAAAGAAGTGAATACCACCACCAGGCTATCACTTAGCCATACAATTTAAAGGATTCCCTTTCCATGAAATCCCTGCAGTTAGCATTCCATTGAATGGAGCCTGCTCAGGATGAGCTCAGGAGGCCAAATAAGACAGGCTCCCCTCTTCCCCCACCACTACAGACTCTTGACCACCTGTGAGCTGAGGCCTGGAATTCCACCATACACACCACTTTGGCTTTTTTCTCTGTTAAAATTCAAACTCCCCTTAGAAAGGCAACACTTTGCCCTAATATTGGCCACTTATTTAGTATGAATGAGTTTCTGATCCTTTCTTGGGAAATTATTTTGTCAAGGAGAAAGTTACAACACTGAGAACCACCAAGATGGGGAAAAGGCACAGCACTAAAGGGCACACGGAGTCCCAGCAGTGCCCTGCCACCTTCACTGTCTGACCTAAGGTCTATTTTGCTGCCAGCTACCGTCTCCACAAGCTGACATTAAACTTGATATAAACTGCACGGAGAGAGGAGTCTGTTTCCATGAAACTGCCATACATAAGATAGATCTCTCCTTTTGGACAGAGCCTCCATTGCCTCAGGAAACCTCACTGCACTAAAGCTTCCTCTTAACTGCCAGCTCAGGACTCAAAGCTCAAGCTTGCTTCCCAATGTATGTTACCATTCAAGCCACCTCAGAGTTCCACCAAACTGTGTTATGGCCTGAGAGCGGGCAGATAAGATGCTTTCACATTTGCATCCTAACGACAGGCTAATTTTTAATTATCACCTCATTCTCAAGTCTCCAAGAGGCCTGGATGAAGGAAGCCAAGCAAGTGACCCCAACAAACCTGCACTCTTGTCCTTCCAAGGGTGGGGCTGGTTCTTTGTCCAGCCACTTTTGGATGAGACCAAATCCACCTCCAGGATGCTGCTGCTGCTATGTGACTTTGGGATCTGACGCCAGGCAGGGACCAACCCAGGTGCTCTTTTCACATTTGTATCCCTTCAAAAGAAAACACAGGGTCCCATGTGAACATTAGAAGGAACCAAGGAACCAAAAAGATGGAAGCCAACACCATAAAAATTATTACTGAAATGGTGCCCTAAATGAGAAGGATCAGTCATCTCCCATGTCTCCTTTGATCTTTCTCTTTACCCCTTGCCAAACATACTTAGGTATTGCCCCATTTTCTTCTAGTTCCAAATTTACTAGCTAGCCATATGACCTTGGGCCAGTCCCTTTACTGTTCAGATTTTGGTTTCTTCAGCTGTAAAATGGGGGGATGAGATGAGATGATCTTAAACCACTGCCACATTCTCTTGGGATCAAAGTAGAGAACTTCCTGAAGGTAGTAAACGGAGTTAAAAAGCTATCATGATCTATTTGCTGCCATTATAGAAACAGACAAGATGGCAGAATGGCCAGAGGACAATCAGGAAGACTTGGGGTCACATCTCAGTTTTGACACTTACTATCTGAGTAATCGGGGCAAGTCCCTTAACCTCTCTATGCCTCAGACAATTCCTCAGGATTTATGTATTAAGGCACAGATGAGCTTTGATTTACAACGGTTGAGAGATCACAGATTTAGAGCTGGAAAGAACCTCAAAGGTCATCTAGTCCAAGCCCCTCCTTTTACAGATAAGGAAAACTGAGGTCCAGAGTGGCTGAGTGACCTATCCAAGGCCACACAAACAATAAGCCACAGAAGTGGGATTTAAACCCAGGTCTAAAGAAACTTTTGACACCAAAAGCTCCTCACACTAGGTAAATTACAGAGCACTTGATGCAGAAAGAGCAATCATATCATAAACATCTTTAGGACTCAACTGCTTCATAAGCATACTCCTGGAAATACTAACTTTGTAAGAAGAAAGGGCAATCAGGGGTCTTCTGAGGGAGCTCCATTGTGGAGGGACTTCAGGTCAGTTCTGGAGCTGGAAGGAGGCTTGGAAGTCAGAGGCCAACTCCCCCATGTGACACAGAAGTGGGTCACAAAGGGGAGGTGACTTGGCTGGGGTCCCTCAGTGGTCAATTAATACAGATCTTTTGGCTACAAATCCAGCCCTTCCCCTGCACCCCTCTGCAGCAAAGGCAGGGGGAGATGAACTGTCCTTGAACTGGGACTAGATGCAGGCGCAGTCCTCTGCTTGGCACATTATTCAACAAACGTATTCAGAGTAATGAAAATGGTACCGGCTGAGGAGCCAAGAGACCTCAGTGTGAGGCCCCACTTTACCACCAGCTGGCTTGCAATGCTATGCTGACATCAGCTCTTGGGCCCAGCTGGTTTCTCTGTAAAATGAGGGGATCAGATGAAATGATCACAATGTTCTCCCACAGCTTTGAAATGCTATGACTCTACAAATAGTCATGACTCTCATCATTCCATGTGAAGTGAAATGCATTTACACTACACAGTACAAGGCCTTCAGTGTTTCCACAATTCTCCCACACCCTTTTCTCTCAGCTGAGGACCTTTCCTTTTATTATAATGAAAAAAAATTATAAGAATATTCAATGTAAGCTCCCTCTTCTCTCTTTCTGTTCATCTTAAAGCCCCTTGATATCATCTCCCCCTCACTTTTTCTTTCTGAGTGTATGACAAAGAGGTGAGCCTTCTTGCTAAGGCCAGCTGGTACAAGCACATCGGATTCCATCCACTCCTGTCTTCTCCAGCAGACTGCACTCTCAATCATCTCCTGTCTCAAATCCTCAACCTCTTCCTATCAACTGGTTTCTTTTCAACTGTCTTCAGATATGTTCAAGCTATCATCCTTTTATCTTTATCTGCTGTCTCTACTTTTTCCCCTCTCACTTACTCCTCAACCTTTTGCAGTTTAATTTGGCTTCTGACCTCATCAGTTAAATGAGACAGTTTTCTCCAAAATTACCAATGATCTTTATCTTAAAAAAAACTAATTACAAAGATTATTGATTTGTAAAAATTTACTTTTTTCCCTCAATTAACAAAAATCTATTTTCTCTCTTCCCACCCCACCTCAATCCACTGAAGGGGAAAAAATGAAAGAAAAGCAAAACCCTTATAACAAACATGCATAGTAAAGCAAAACTGATTACCATATAGGCCATGTCGAAAAAATATGTTCTCAATCTACACCCTAAGTCCATCTCTGTTAGGAGAGTTCATAAGTTTCCTTATGAAACTACTAGAATTAAGATTGGTCACTGTACTGATCAGAATTCTTAAGTCTTTTGAAGTTGTTTGTCTTTACAATGTTGTCATCGTATAGCTTTTTTCTTGGTTTTGCTTGTTTCATTCTAGAATCAGTTCATACAAGTCTTCCCTGGGTTTCTCTGAAACCATTCCCTTTCATCATTTCTTATAACATTGTGGTATTCTATTACATTCATATACTATTTTGCAATTTCTACCTTACCCCCTCCAAATTGATGGGCACTCCCTTAGTTTTCAGTTCTTTGCAACAAAAAGAACTGCTACAAATATTTTTTCCCATGTGTGGGTCCTCTTCCTTTCTTTGGCCCTTTTAGCAGAAGTGGGGAACCTTCAGCCTCGAGGCCACATGTGGCCCTCTGGGTCCTCGAGTGCAGGCCTCTGACTGAATCCAAACTTCACAGAACAAATCCCCTTAATAAAAGGATTTGTTCTGTAAAACTTGGACTCAGTCAGAGGCCTGCACTCGAGGACCCAGAGAGCCACATGTGGCCTCGAGGCCGCAGGTTCTCAACCCCTGCAATATACTGGCCTAGTAATGGTATTGCTGGGTCAAAGCATAAGCACAGGCTAGTAACTTTTTGGACATGGTTCCAAATTACTTTCCACAATGGCTGGGCTAGTTCACAGCTCTACCAATAGTGCAATAATGTTCCTGTTTTCCCAAAGCCCCTTCAACGTATGTCATTTTCCTTATTTTTGTCAACTTTGCCACTCTGATGAGGTATAAGAATTGCTCTAATTTTAATTTCTCTAATTATTAGTGATTTGGAGAATTTTTTCATATGGCTATTGATAGTTTCCAATTCTTCCTCTAAAAAAACTTCCCATGCATGTCCATTGATATTTATCAAGTGGGAAAGTGCTCTTATTCTTATAAATTTTAATCAGTTCCCTATAAATCTTAGAAATGAGACCTTTATCAGAGAAACTTGCTGCAAAGACATTTTTTTTTCTCAGATACCTGTCTCCTAATTTTAAATGCAGTAGTTCCCTATAATCTCTTAACTGCCAAATTTGATGGTCTTTTCCTCTGAAAGTCTTATCCTTCCTCTACCTCTCGGCTGTGTTTTACACTGTTAACCACCTTTCCCTCTTGGATATGCTCTCCTTTCTGATACTGCCCTCTCCTAGTCCTCCTCCTAGCTGTGTCACTACTCCTTCTCAGTCTTCTTTGATGGCTCACCATCTAAATTAAGCCCTCCAACTATGGGGTATTCACCAATGTTCTGTTCTAGGCCTTCTTCTCTTTTCCCTCTATGCTCTCTCTTTTGCTAACCTTATCAACTCCCTTGGGTTAAATTCTCATGTCTATGTAAATGACTCACTATCCATAGACTCACTCTCAGTCTCTACCTTAACCTCAGGTGGAAATATGTCCCAGAGACATCTTAAGCTCAATATATCCCAAACTGAACACATTACCTTTTCCCCAAATCCCTTGTCTTCCAAACTTACCTACTTCTGTCAAAGGTATGACCATAGTCTCCCAGGTTCATAACCTCTGCACTGTCCTCAGCTATTCATTCTATCTCACTTCACATATCTAATCAGTTGTCAAATCTATGGGATCCATCCCACATACTGCTGACCATGTTATATTCCTTTACTCAACCCACTTTAGTGACTTCCTACTGGATAAAATATAAACTCTTCTTTGCTTTCTCACTGTAAGTTACTCTTCCCTACCCTGTTGCCCTTGTCCCCAGTGTAATCCTGCCAAACTGGGTCCTCATGGATGTCGCCATCTTCTGACTCCATGCCTCTGTATGAGCAGCTGCGTTTGTCTGAAATGCCCTCCCTCCCTCTTCACCCCCACCTCCTAGAGCCCCCTATCATCCTTTGAGATGTAGCACAAGCATCACTCTTTACATGAAGCCTTTCCTGATCCCTCAATTAGTTGCCATCCTCCCAAATCACCCTGTGTTACATACACTTGCGTATATACGTCATATTTGTCCCTTTTAAGCCACATGTCTTTGTCTGTACTTGTCATTTCCACCATCGGACGATGTGTCCCTTCCAAGCAGTGTGGCTGCACTCATGGTATCAATATTTCTAGCACTGAGCACAGAGAGTGGACTCCAGCAGGAACTGAATACTGGGCTGATTAACGTCTCCTATATAACAGGAGACAGGGCTTGAAGGTATGCAAAGCACTTTACCAACATTACCTCCTTTCATTACCTCCTTCCAACCTAGTATTATCTCCCTTTTACAGATGAAGAAATTGATGCTTACAGAGGGAGACACAAAGCTACTGAGTACCTGGAGCAGGATCTGAACTCTCACCTTCCTGACACCAGTGCCACCTCACTGCCTTGGAGATCCCCAAAGTCAGAGTTAGATGAACTGAACAATATATGGGCTTTGGAGTCGCTCCTTCATTCACTTAATTAGTCTTTATTGAGCAATTCCAAACTTGACTTTTACATACAGTCCCCTGATTTTCAGACCACTTTGCTGCTGACGTTAAACCTTTTGTCCAGCAGAGGGGGTTGTTGCTGCACTGTACTAGCCCTGCCATATGTGTAGCCCGTTCCTGAATCTGCCTCATAAAGTCAGGGCAGAGATCTCTCAACATTGCCCTAAAATGGTCAATGCCCCCTTGCACAGTACCTGGAGGTGCCAGAGCTCTCTGGCAGAGTTGCATCCAGACTGACAGGGCTGTTACTGTTCCTCTCGCTGCTCTCATAGCCAGATTCCATTCTCTGGATTAATCGAGGATGTTGGTCCATAAGGTGAATACCAGGTCGGGGTGGGCCCCAGTTCTTGTGCCTTAAGCTTGGCCCATTGGTTTTGGGGTCATACGCAGTTGATTTGTTCAGTTCATTGGAAATAAACTCTTTAGCTAGCCAAACCAAAGAACAAAAGTGGACAAAAAAGGTGGATATAATGTTACTTATCCAAAGACACTCCTGAACACCCACTACCCAAAACCAGAAAGAGAGCCAACTAATGGCCCTTCTATATCATCACCATTTCCCCAGGTTATTGTGGAAACATGCACTACTCACTAATAATGCTTCATAACCAAAATGAAGCCATGTCCAGGGGTAATAATGTCCTTTGCTGGACTTCACTGTCAAGCGCACCATCATCTTCCCAGTTACCCAGCAATATAAGTGTCATCCTTGAATCATCATTCTCTCCGAAAATCCATATTCAATCAGTTGCCAATCCTATCTAATCTATGTTTGTAACATCTCTCATATATGACTCCTTCTCTCTTCCAACACTGCCACCACCCTGGTGCAGGCCCTTACCTCACATATGGACTACAATAGTCTGTTAACTAGTCTCCATACCTCAAGTCTCACCCCACTCTAGTTCATCCTCCTCTCAGCTGTCAAACTGATCTTTCTGAGACCACATCATCTCCCTGTTCAATAAACTCCAGTGGCTCCCTATTACTTCCAGGATCAAATATAAAATCCTCTTTTAAAGACCTTCATAGCCTGGCCCCTTATTACCTTTCCAGTTTTCTCACACTTTACTGCCCACCACATATTCTACAATCTAGTGACATTCAACTCTCTGTTGTCCTCGGCTCATGACACCCCATCACCCAAATGGCTGCCCCCTCTGCCTGGAATTTCCCCTTTCCTCCTCTCCACCTGCTGGCTTCCTTAAAGTCTTAGCTCAAACTCAACTTCTGCATGAAGCTTTTCCCAATCTCCCTTAATGCTGGAGCTTTCTCCTGGGTAATATCTTTAATTTGCCCTGTCTGTATCTTGTTTGTGCATGACTGTTATGTTGTCTCCCCCATTAGACTATGAGCTTTTTGAGGGCAAGGACTGTTTTTTGCTTTTCTTTGTATCCCCACCAGTGCACAGTGCAGTACTTGACACACAGTAGGCACCTAATAAATGTTTCTTTTTTGGTTTGCTAATCCATTCAGAAAACATCTGGTTTCTACACATGTGATTACACTAAATCAGCTTTGTCCCCCTGTCCAATCCCGCCCCCCTCCACTATCCCCTTCTCTTACCTGGGTCCTCTGAAAATGGACTGAGCTGGGTATAGCCACAATGCTTCCTTTTGTCCTTACTGAAGATGCTGTCAATATTCAGAGACTCACGTTTAGGTCTCCATGTTGGACGGTACTTGCTGGATGAACTGGATTTAGACTCACTGCTGGTGCTCTCTACTTCCCAGTCCTGACAGTGCAAGGGTAGGCTCCGAGGGGGTCGTTTTCCAGTTTGGTCTCCTTTTCCCACACAGGGAGATCCTTGGTTGCTTTGGGAAGTTAGGGATGGTCTGCTATGGATGATATTGCTGACTGTTTCTTTAAAATCCTTTAGTCTGTTGGTGCTGCTGGGTGGCTTGGGGGCACTCCTGGGGGCCTGCTTCTCCTTCAGTGTTTCTCCTAAAGTCCACAGATGAACCAGCACAAACACAGACCCTTGTATTACACTAGTAGAATTATGAATATTCCCTTAATGCTATACCAGATGGGTGCTATGAATAAGAAGGTACAGATTTCATCAGCTCAAGAAATGGCAGGGACGGCCAGTGAAGAAACAAGGACAATGACTGACCTTCACTGTGGTACCCAGAGGACTGTGGCTCATCGCCTCTCCTCCTGGTCCGACCAGAGCTCCTCTTCCGCTCTGTCAATGAACCCTTTTTGGCTGTGTGCTTCTGGTTACATTCACCATCAGTCAGATGTCCTGAAAGAATAGGAAATGGGAGGGAGGGAGAAGAAACATGCAGCTACTCCCATTGTACTCTTGAAAGCAAGACTTACTTGATCCTGACTCCCTCCCCTGCCAGTTCTGAGACCCTTAATGGCATTATTTAAAAGTAGTGTGCCTGCAGTGCCCAATTTCAACATCCTAATTCATCATCATCTACTTCTATGTAAGATCAAATGAGAAAATATTGCAAAGCACTTAACACAGTGCCTGGGCACACAGTTGATGCCTAAAAGTTTATTCCATTTCCTTTCCTTCCCCTTGATAACATATCAGGATTGAGGGTTGTCTAATTTTGCTGGTTTATTTTCACACTCTAAATCTAAAAACACAGCTTGGCTCACCACTTCTAAAGATTAGATGCAAATTAAACTTTGGATCCAACATTACTCAAAGGGTCACAAACTTTACCCACAGTCCTGGTATTAGTATAGGATTGTGAGGACCTGGAATTTAACTTTTACCATTCATGCAACATTTAAATTAAACAAAACAAAACAAAACAACAACAAAAGCAAGGCCACTTCAAGGATCCAAACCCTCAAGGAGTAAAAACTGAAAGTAAAAACGTGGCCTTATTCAGCAACACCAGTGGCCCAACCTCCATTCCATCACTACCTGGGTCTTCAGGTATTTTCCTGAAAGTAACACTATAAACACAGTATCACATATGTACATACCCTCTACCCCTTAAGTTACTGGTTGTGGACATTGTACTTAGCAATTAGATGTGAAAGAAAGTGAAGAAACATAAAAAAACAGAAGTGGGAATAGAAAGGGTAAGACAGATAAAGGAGAATAAGGAAGGAAAGAGAAGAAATGAACCTTTTTTTTGACTAACTGGATGAAAGCGATCATCTTCTAGGGGTTTTGTTTTTTTTTAATTTTTGTTGTTTTTTTTAACCTACACCAATATCAACCACACATGTCCTCCTTTTTAAGAAAAAACCAGTTTGAAATTTGGGAGGGACAAGAAAGAGGAGAGTGAACCTGTGATTTCATGAGTGTGAGAGAATGGATGGAGTTTCTATCCAAATATAATTTAAATTTAATAGTATTAGAGAGTAGCTCAGGGGCACTAAAGTTAAGTGACTTGCCCAAGGTCACAAAGACTATGTATGTCAAAGACAGGACTCAAATATGTCTTGTCTCCAAGGCTGGTCCCACACTTCTTGTCACATATTGTCACCAATTTTATCGAACGCTGATGTTTTCATCAGGAATGTTTAAAAGCCTCCTATTTCAATGAGAATGTCCATTTTTTCCCCTGAAAGTCTATGCTCAGTTTTGCTATGTAGGTGACTTGGGACTTTAGTGACTGTTGTATTGAACCAGAAAAACCTCTTTCTTCATTCCCCCTACAATCTTCCTACCTGTGTCTCGACTGCTCTGAGACAAAGAGTCATTCTCCACATTGTAGATCACTGTTCCCTGGGAATCAGATGAGAAGTGACTGACCACAGACTCATGGTGGGAGTGTTTGCAGGGATAGCTGTCTGTTGATGAATCTGTCCGGGTATCACTGGAGATGGAAGGCTCCCTTCCTGAAGAAAGGAGGCAATACAGAGGTAGGGCACAAAGAATGAGATAGAAATGTCAACAGAGGTCAGAAAGCCAAAGTCAAAGCTTTCCAAGACAAATGGGCTACAAGGTTACATGCTGATCCTGGCTTACAGAGGACCCATTTAAACAAAAAAAAAAACAAAACAAAAAAAAACCAACCTGATGAAATCCCAGCTTTAATTTGTGAAAAACCCCAGGACTTTTGGGGAACATATAGGTTCAGAAGTAGAGAAAGGGAATTACCTGTGAAAAGAGGGCCAGCTTTTTCAAACTAGCCAATTTCCCTGCCTCCAAAATGTTCCTGCATTTTTTTTTCCATTTTGCTTTGTAAAGAGAAATTATACTGACTGAAATTTTAACAATTAGAGATTCATGTGGGTTAACAAATATTCTTATTATTTGTTTTAGTAAGCATACTGAATAACTTAGGTGAATTATTTACACAGGAATAGGAATTAATTCAATTAGATTATTTTGTTCCTAACACCAAGGAATACTGCATTAGAAAAGTAAATGAAGTTTTGCATGGGGAGTCTAGAGGTTGTAGAGTGGGAAGATAGTGGACTTTTGAACTATCGACTAATAACAACAGTAATCGTAGCTAACACTTATATAGCACTTACTATGTGACAGGTACTGGGCTAATTACTTTACAATTATCTTTTGATAATTATCATTTGATCTTCCCATCAACCTTGGGAGGTATGTGCTATTATCCCTATTTTATAGGTGAGGAAACTGAGGCAAAACAGAGGCTAAGTGACTTGTCCAGGGTCACAAAGCTAGTAAATTTCTGAGGCTAGATTTGAACTCAGGTCTTCCTGACTCCAGGTTTGGTGCTTTATCCACTGCACCATCTAGAGACCTAGCAGCTAGTTTGGAAGACTATGGATTTAGGGGAACTTAAAGACATCTCCAGCTTATAATGCATATATCTTATTTGTACATAGTTAACATGTTGTCTCTCCTATTAGAGAATGTTTGAAATGAACTGTTTTGAAACTTTCAAACATTCCTTGTCCTGGAGGATAGAGACTGTCTTTTGCTCTTCTTTGAACTTCCAGCTCTTAGCACTGTCGGTGTTTAATAAATGCTTATGGACCGACAATGGATTCTAGGAGAAAAGATGAGATAGGGATGTAGAAAGAAAGCTAAAATAGGTAAACTGTGCGTATTTCAAAATTTTGTCAAGGGCTAGCCCCAGGTCCAAGATGAGGGGAGGATAATCTCTTCCTCCTCACTAGAGCAGAGGTGAGACTTTTTCAAACAGATACCTTAAAAATGAATTTCTGTAAGACAGTCCATTCATGTAGTGGGATCTAGCTATACTACATTTGGACCTTGTAAACAAAAATCCTTCATCGCTAGCAAAAATACCACATTTTATATGATCAGACAAATTATTTCTTTCTTATTAATCACACTGGTCTAAGACACAGCTCCTTCGATATGAGTAAAGATGAGAAGCCAGCTTGCTATATCAATATCACCATACTAGTTAATGATGCTTCCATTACAAGCCGAATATGTTAGGTTTAACCAATGGGATTTTCTTTCTTGCATTCTTTTTCAATTAATTGTATTTCAACCTTCTTAATTAATTTTAATTTGTTTAAAAATTCCTTTCTGCTTTGGGTTCTAGCACATTAGTTTAGCTCTGAGTGAAATGAAAAGCTTATCCAACACAGGACCTTCCAGGAAGGTCTTGGTCATTTGGATAGAACTATCATGTGACACCAAATTTGAAACTGATGGAAAGGCCACCATGCAGCAAACTCCACATGGCATCCTTTCAATTCATGCTAGTCCACATGCTAATGAGTGTGGACAGCCATCTGGATATTCAACGGACAAGTCCAAAAGTCATAGGAAAGAACAAGATTAAAGTTGCTTACCCGAGTCTTCACTATCATAACATGTCCTACTGTATGACTGGGGCTCCATCTGAGGGGGCAAATCCTGGGTAGATACCGGGGTACCTCGGGGGTCAGCATAAAGCAACAGCAAAGGCTGATAATGTCCCTTGATGCATTTGGTTACCACATCTTTCCATTTGGGCCCAATCTGAAGCAGAAACAATCAGAAAAGTAAGAATTTACTCTTTACTTCCGTAGTTCAAAGTACTTAAGGAATCAAAGCACATTCAAGCTGGAAGAGATCTGAGAAATTATCGTCTCTAACTTCATTTTACAGATGAAGAAACTGAGGCCCAATTAAGAGATAGGCTTCCTCAAGATAGGCCTTCAAACTGGTCTTTAGAATTCAAGACTAGCACTCATAGGATCACAAAATGAGAGCTGGAAAGGACCTCAGAGCCCATCTACTCCAACAGATAACAAAGCTGAGGTCCAGAGAAGTCTTGTCCAAGGTCACAGAGAACAAGTGACAGAGGCAGTTTCTGCTGCTGTCTCCCTAGGTCTCCTGTGTGTCCTGGGCATCTTTACTGCTATTCTTTCTAGCTTGGTACATTAACACAGGCACTTCATTCCCTCCCATCTCCTTTTTCAATTCAGAGCCCTTCGGATTTGATCTGCAAAATTCTAGGCAAATATACATTTGCCAGCTCTTGCTAAATGCCCTCCATCTCTGGCCAAGAGCTAATCATAACTATATTTTAAAACTAAGTCAAACTGCTTAGAAAAGATGATTGTGCCACTCGGTCAAAACAACATGTGAGGAGTCGGCTTTGCTCTTCGTCTTCAGACAAGAAATAACAGAGGCAATAACCCAACAAAGTTCCCAAGTCAACCCTGCTCTGGGCACTAAACCAGTTGTGTTTTCAGCAAAGATGAGGCATTTGTAAAGTACTTAGAGCAGTGCCTGGTACAGAGTAGGCACTATACAAATGTTTATCCCCTCCCCCACCTTATTCCCTTTTAGCAGCCAAACTGCTCCTCATCTTGTTTTGGCATAGAGCTATCCAAAACATACTGGGAAGAAGTAAAAGAAAATCAAGACAATTTCCATATTTCTTACTACCCTAATAATGAAGTCACTTACTATTTATTATTTACATACCCATTATTATTGGAAATTTATCTCATTGTTTCTAATTATGGTTACAGCTAGCACTCTTCCTAGGCAATATCTCATCACAATGGGTTTAGTTCATTCCATACTAGCTAATTAATTTGCTATGGCTATGGAATCTCTGGTCTTCCAGGTATAGTTTCCAAAATGTTTCCCTGTTCTTTGTACAGCATTTGAGAGTGTCTCCATTCCCCAATAACAATATGACTTTCTGTTGCCTATTGTTAAGGGGATTTGATGCTGCTCAGAACCAGCCAAAACTTTACTCAGTAACGAGTCCAGCATTTAAAATTCTGTCCTCTACTCAACTCAAAGATGAAATCCCTGAGCCTTTCCTCTAAAAACACATTTTTGTAACGTGAACCCAAATGGGTGTACTACAAAGCTCCAAGAGAGATTTTCCCCCATTGCTTTACAATGGTTTTCAAATGCTGATGGTGAACTAATTTCTAAGTCCTGGAAATCAGACTGTTGGTTTTCAACCCAATCCAATTCAATAAATGTTTATTAAGTGCTTACTATGTGCCAGGCACTGTGCTAAGCACTGAGATTGCAATTAATAAAAAGAAAGACAGTCTCTGCCCTCAAAGAGCTTATAATCTAATGGGGGAAACAACACACAGAAGGAAAGAGGAAAATAGGGGTAGAAGTGGGAAAGCGGATACTGGGGGCATCTTGTTTCATGGAGCTGAAACCAGGCAGGGCAGCAGATGCAGAGTGGACTGAGCTGAGATGAAAGTCCAGTTTCTGCTCTCTATAAAGGAAGGCATTGAGAAGAGTTTGGTACTTCACCTTCTAGCCCTACAATCAGAGAGGAGAAGAGGCTGAGGGAGGTGCTATCAATCAAGGCTTGACTTAGCAGCATGGTGATGAGATTAAATTGGGCAGTTAGGTGGTACAGTGGATAGACTATCAGGCCTGAAGTCAGGGAGACCCATCTTCCTGAGTTCAAATCTGGCCTCAGACACTTACTAGATGTGCGAGTCACTTAACCTTGTTTGCCTCAGTTTCCTCATCTGTAAAATGAGCTGGAGAAGGAAATGGCAAACCCCTCCAGTGTCTTTGCCAAGAAAACCCCAAATGAGGTCATGAAGAGTCAGACATGACTGAACAACAATGAGACTCGAGGTGATGAGCTTAATGTGGGGTGCAATCTTGTTCATGGAGTTGAAACCAGACAGGGCTGCAGAAGTATTTGTTGAATACCTACTAGAAAATTCAACAACGTGTCTGGCAGGAGGAAAGAAAGGGAGGAAAGATACTAAGGCATAAGACACAATGTCTCAGATTTGAAGAAGCTTGCAATATAGCAGGGGAGACCAGGAAAAAAATATACATTAAGAGCAACAATCCAAATATGCCTCATAGATATATGATTCAAAACCTTGCTGAAATGGCAAGGTACCCTAAAGAAGAGACAACATGGAGTATGTGACAGGCAAATCTAACCATCATATCCTCTCAGATTCTGATAACAGCTCAGGACCCTGAGCCTGAGCCATAGGAAAAACAGAGCACCCACAAACCCTTGGCCCTGCTTCCAGCCTGGAAAGCCCCTCAAGTCAGAGGATTTTAGGAGCTAGGATTTGAAAATTAACTCTGTGATCCTTAGCAAATCACTTAATGTCTCTGTGCCTCATCTATAAAATATGGATAATACCACTTATCTCACAAGTTTGTTGTGAGGCTCAAATGAAATAATGTATGTAAACTGCTTTTCAAATCATAAAGTACTTAACATATGTCAGGTGTTATTACGATAATATTTCACACAAAGCACTGGATTTTCCTACCTCTTTTACATGGGCATCATCAAAATACATCCATTTGCGGATCTTTGTTTGGAAAAAGAAAGTAGAATAATGTTTGCCATAATAACAGATCATTCCCACTAAATACAATTCAGACTGCTTGGCTCGGTCATCTGTCACTCTGAAAAACAGCTGCAAAAAAGCAAGAGAAAGAAGAGCCATTACATACACAGCACTCTCAAAGTATTTCTCATCAGTCTCAATGTTTTTATAAACATTTCTTAATTAGTATTCATAAAAATACTAACTCTTCCCTCCCTTGGTCAATAAGATCATTATTTTGATAACTACAATGGGAATATGGGAAACAAATTTCTCCATTAGAAATGAGCCTGAAAAAGTAAAAAGTAGAGAAAGGTGAAAAGAGAAGTGGAAAATAAGGTGGGTGAAGATGGGAAGAAAGGAAGTAGAAAGGGTATGGCCAACATGAATTTGAGATGAGATCCTCCAAAAAAAGGAATTTTCTCTTCTAGAGTCCATCACTTACACAAGTAAGTGTAAGAATAGGATGTAGGAAACCAGGAAATGAACAAACAACCTAGCAACACTGTCTATTTCTTCTCAAGTCAATACTTCCCCAGTCTATAAGGTTACTTGTTAGCTGCCCACATTTCACTAGCTTTCAACTGACAGCATGGCAGTATAAGATAGTTCCCAAGTAACTCTGGTCTGTCAGTCCAATCAACATTTACTAAGCACCTCAGTGACCAGCACTGTGCTAGGTATTCTTGGAGACATAAAGCCATAAGAAATTTACTCCTTATGATCTAGTTGGGAAGATAAGACAAAAACAGAAACCTTAAGAAAATTAAGTCAAATACAGGACAAACAATAATTACTTTGGAAATTTTGAGAAGGTAAATGATATTGTTGGCTGAGATAATCAGGGAGAACCTAACCTGTGGGAGAGGACCTAGAACGTAATCCCAGACATTTATTATCAAAATGGCCTAATAGAGGCAGCTAGGTGGGGCAGTGGATAGAGCACTGGCCCTGGAGTCAGGAGGACCTGAGTTCAAATCCTGCCTCAGACATATAACACTCACTTAACCCCATCGCCTAGCAAAAAACAAACAAAAACAAAAAAAAAAAGCCTCACAAAATGGCCTACTAAAGTACGCAGTAACCTCCCAATCCCTTAAGTCACATGATGCCTGGGAGTAGCAGTGGCCCCCTACAACACCAGCGCTACTTCCAGTCTTGCCCCCACAGCTCTTGTCTAGGGAAGTAATCCTTAGGGAAATTCAACTTGAACCTGCTACCTCAAATGCTGCAGCCCATGCCTCCTCAGGAGCCATGGCTACTGAAGTACATGGAAAAGAACATTCTCACCCATAGAGGCCTTGGCTCTGTTAAATGGCTGAACACTAGAAACAGGTTTTATCAATGTAAATAACACTAAAGAAGAAGCATTAGTACCAAGCACCACTGAGCCTCATCATCTGATTCACAGCTGAAACCCCCTAGAGGTATTGTCTCCTCCTTGAAAGCAGAATTCTACTTGTATCCCCAATGGTGTACACACAGTAAGTTCTTAATAACTGTTTTTTCAACCATCCATCCAATCCTTATTCTTCTCCTTAACTGGCAGAGAATCTAAGTTGTAGCCACAGCTTAGCTGTATTCAACTTGGTTGGCACAGGCCTGTGCTGATAAAGCACTGTTTCTGAAGTCTTTCTCCCATATACTTTCCTGAATATCACCATCGAGAGACTGCTGATCACTTCCACTTGCTCTCATCCTCCTCCTCAACTGGCACTAGCTCCATACCCATTCTGCTCCTCCCTGTCTTCCTACCTGACGACTCCAATAAAGTTCAGTGATCCTCTTCGGTCCTTTCTCCAGATTAAGTCCCCTAGCTGGAATAGTACAGTATGGAGCATGTAATAGATCCTCAATCTTAAAAAAATCAATTAAGCAACAAGTATTTATTAGCCAGGCTATATCCTAAGTCTTTCCTATCCTTTAAGGTCTACCTTAGTCTACTTCTTCAACAAAGGTTTTCCCGCCAATTACTGAAATGGACTTTTCCTCATTTAATATATAAGTAACTCTCTTGAATATAGTAACTGTTACGCATATTATGCCATAAAAGTCTGTGGGTAAAGATATTCTCTCTTCTATGTTCAATATCAACTACCATAGAACAACACCAGGCCTACAGGATTTCAGATCAATGTTCACGGGAAATGAGACTCACATCACCCAGTTTGAGGCAAGTACCCAGGCTATGGATGACATCCTCTGCCAGGTCTGAATGGTCGGAGTCCCACACAAGCCCAATGGTGATAATCTGAGGGGCATTCATCAGCACACGGCGAATCCGGATCTTCTCTCCACAATTACTCTGAAACATGTGGACATGGTCACTGTTGTCGGAGTCCAACATCTTTTAACAAACTGTGTCCTGCTGTCTGCCCCTGTGCCCCCCCACCCCCATTTCACCCTCACTCACTGGGCAGTTCCGAAGATCACCCATGGTACTGGCTTTTTGCAGTAGTTCCCCAAACATGCCTGGAGAAGGTTTCTCTCGCCTCTCCAACATACAAATTGCCTGGTTGCTTATGTATGATAAATGAAAAGGAGATGAGGGCATAAATTTCCAAAGTTAATACAAAACAGTTATCCACAAATGCCTTAACTCAAGTGTTCTGCTTACTTCTCATAGCTATATCAAATCTCCATAGAACAGACAAAGGAGATGAAAACACCTTTATATCTATGACCTCCCTAAGGTCTGAAGATTCAAAGAATTCCTATTCTTTCTACCACTTCACACAACAGAAATAGGTCCTAAGAAAGAAGAGAGGGGAAAGGAAAAGAAGGGAGACTAAAAGCTATTTTAAATATTTACTGAATAATCCCCATACTTAATAATACCCATAGGTATTCAGCAACTGCTTCAGCAAAAAGGACTCCAATTATCTAGACCACCATAAATGAAAGCCCCAAAGTCTCAATGAGGTGAAACCTACATGACTCACCAAAGGGAAGTGGTAGAGATGTAATGTACCATCTGGATAAAGGGCAGTGGGTCAGAGGTGGCACCACAGCTAGTACATACACACTAAGGCAGAAAGAAAAACAAATGAGCCACAATCATCAGATGCCCTTAGCATGCCACTTCTCCCACATGACACTCCATAATCTGGGCCAAAGGAGGCCACAGATAGCACCTCACCTGTTCAAACAAAGTCATTGCAAACTTCTGGTGGGAGATACAATGAGCAGCAGTGCAAATGTCCTCTTTGGTTTCATCTGCGATGTGGAAGTGAATCCTCATCAGAAGGTTCTCCTACCATGGAAGGAACAAAAAAGGAAAATTGGCACAGATCATTAGCTAAGCAGCTCATACAAAAAGAATGGTAAAAATGGGACCTTGGGGAGTGATAGGAATATCCCCTTATTCCCACTGATCCTCTCAATTTTTCTTCCGACAGCTGAAATATATCACTTATAGAACCCTAAGATCTTGGAGCTAGAAGGAACCTTAGAGATCTCTAGTTATTTCACTGCATGACAAAAAGAAAGGATTTTCTGTCACCATTCAAAACCAATAGGTCTGCCTGTTTTTCACATGCTTAAAAATTTAATGAAGGTCAAGAAATAATTCTGAAAGTCACCTTACTACCTATTAATGTAGGCAATGTGGCTGTCTGAAGTAGATCATACTTATGCCAGAGGCCCACTTCCAAGTGAAACATTCACTTCTCTGATGAAATATCTCTTACTCACCCTAAGGGGGACCCTGGCTCCTCTGAGGATTATAGCTATAGCTTTAGACTATGGCAAAAGTAGACAATACAGAGCATGAAGAAGTTAACATGTCTGGGCCAACATGCACTGTAGCACTGGAAGAAATGTGCTCTGAACCACCGAAGACAGTCCTAGTTTTAACAGTTAAGATGAGGACATAGTTATTTCCAAAGAGAAGGAGCTCAGTTACCATAGTAAAGTCTTCATATTTCCCCCAAATAAGAAAGGGAAAGGGAAATACTCACAAAACATTCGGCAGCATCATCCATAATACCCAGCTGGAAGCGCTGCTCATCCTGAAAAGTCTTTGCCAAAGCACTGCGGAGTGTGTCAGAAGGAAGGACTTTCTCACTGCTACACTGAAACTGATTGAAGATTCCCTGTGAGGAAGAAGTTAGAGGGTAGAAAAAGCATAAAGTTATTATTAAATCTCTACATAAGTGCTATCTGCCAAGTGCTTTACGATACCAATAGCTACCAAAGTAAAATTTACTGATACATTTAGCAGAATACAAAGCCAAAGCCAACCACTGAAAGATCAGGGGACTAACCCAGCACATAAGAGTCTCACTCTTCCAGATGCAGGTGATGCCATCCAGGACAACTTTAAGACACTGAGGCTCAGTGTTAAGTCACTTGTACGAGAGTCATACACCAGGTAAGTGTCTGAGGGGAGGTTTTAAGCCAGGTCTTCCTGATCCCAATCCCAGCATTCTATTAGTTACACCATCCTATCTCTCTGCACTTGTAGCTGGATATTCAAAGACAACACAGTCTCTGCCCTGAATAAGCTTATGTTCCATTGGCTAGGGAGGGTACATAAAATATATTTATAAGCAATAAAAAGTAATCTCAAGAGGTAAAGAACACTAGTACACTACTAACAACAACTGGGGTATCAGGAAAGACCACCAAAGATACACCTAGAACTCAATCTGTAAGCAGATTTTTTTTTTGGTTTTTTTTTTTTGGTGAGGCAATCGGGGTTAAGTGACTTGCCCAGGGTCATACAGCTAGTAAGTGTTATGTGTCTGAGGCCAGATTTGAACTCAGGTCCTCCTGACTGCAGGGCTGGTGCTTTATCCACTTCGACACCTAGCTGCCCCTTAGCAAGCAGATTTTGACTCAGCAAAGAAAATCTCAGCAAATAATGCTGTCTAGAAATGAAAAGTAAAGAATCAGGAGATAGTGAGTTCCCTATTATTAAGCATCTTTTCAAGTAGATGACCAATCAGTAGGGGAATGCTGTAGAGAAGATTTACACTTTAAAGGAGGGAGGGAATCAGATGACCCTTAAGGTCCCCTTTAAAATTTTTCCAAGGTCACATATCTAATGAGTGGCCATGATAGGCCTAGAACCTAGGGCTCCCCATTTTTAATACAATGTCCTTTCCACTATAACTCATTCTGATTAGCATCCTTAACAACTGCAATGTCTTCCAATACAGTTTCTACATATAGGTCACTTTGTAACCAGTCCTTATTTCCCCACAAATTACTCCAGATATGGAAACGTAGTACACAGTAGCAAGGACTACAATTCAGTGTTATTTAATAGGCTTCAGGGCCTAGGAAAGAAATCCTAGAGCAATCATTCCAACCTCCCATTAGGGGTCGACTTTTCCGCATAGCTTCTCCAAATACTGTTCAACATTTTTAGACAGTATCCTATTTTGCCAGGAGGCTCCCACTGGACCATCCTTATAACCTAACCACCACTCAAATAAAGAGTAAGCTCTTCCAAAACACAGCCTCTTTCTCTTGGAACCATGGTGTCCCCAGTCCATACCAGAATAAGCCCAGTCATTTTCCCTTAGAGGGCAATTCTGTATTTTATCAGTTGCCTATAGAATCTTTTGATACAAATTGTCTTTTGATACATTTGGAACTATGATGAATGAGGAAGAAAGGTAGAAATAAATACCAGCTGCTTCAAACTGCCCAACATCAAAAAGATTTGTCCAGCTTGCTTTGGAGAACTCATCACGCCATGGCTAAAACTAGCAATCTCTGTTCCATACCAAAGAGGTGTCACTTCTACTTGGTTGTCAATGAAGAAGATATTCCTAAGTAATAATAATTCATTAGTAATAATAGTAATTCCTAAGTAATAAGAAAATATTCCTAAGTGCAGAATGGACTAATTTTATAACATGTTAGAAAAGAGAGAGAAAAAGACATGTAACATAAATGACAATAATAATAAATCCAATTATCTGAAAACCTCTATACCTTTCCTTATCATCACCACTATAACCATAGCCAATATTCTTTGAAGACACAGGTAATCTGTAAACCTCATTTCATCCTACAGTGTTAACATAGAAGAGTGCAGAGAGCCACGGTGGATCTTTATGGAAACCTGATACACCAAAGGCTTTTATACTCAGCTGAGCAAAGACCATGATTCAAAAACTTCTGCCCTGTGGGACCTCTCCAAAATCTTCCCAGCTCTACTTCCTTCATCAAAGACAAAAGATGGGAAGGTTTTATAAGTAATTCCCCAGAGAAGAAAAGAGAAAGTCTGGGCCCTACCTGAACTAGCAGTTCTGTAAATGTACCCTGACAGATATGACGCTGATGTTCAGAGATGTAATCATCTCCATCCCTGCACTACTTTTCTTGCCTCTAATTACAGGCAGCTTCTCCCTACATACTGAGCCTCTGAATTGTCTCTGTCTGTCTTCTTTGTTTTCTCAATTTAATTATTGTTATTGGTCTTCTATTGTCAGGAATTGAGCTGGTATGTTCAAGATGAAGCTGCCTGAGCCTGCCCAGAATGCCATTGGTGGAGACACAGATCTGAAAGAGGCTGTCACACAAAGCCCTTCTGTTAAGGCAGCACACTGACCCCCTGTGTGCCATGCTCCAATTGAGCACAGGTTCTGGAACTGGCCTCCACCCATTCCCTTTTTCACCCTCCTCCCACCTTTCCCAGAGGGAGAGCTTGTTCATACCAAAGAAAGCCAAGAACATTTAGTTCAGCAGTAAGAACAGGTGGCAGCTCCAATAAGGAACAAAAACTGGGATTCTTCCAATTGCTGAACTCCAAAGCAGAGAACAAGAAAGGGCATGAGCAGGAGAGGCATATCTCCCTGAAGAGTTCTCAGGAGGGAGGAGGCAGGCAAGCAAGAGGAAACCCATCTCTAAGGGTCATCTCCACTCCCCTAAACAGAGGAAAGCTGAGGAAGTTTCCTTTTCATTCTTGGCCCAGTGTAGCTTATTACAAACTACTTTTTGGTCTGTGTGCAATTTTCTTGGATTGAGAGCAAAAACAAGATTTTAATGACTAGAAGCAGGTGCTTCCTCAGCAGTCTTTCCTTGACTGGGTAGCAAACAATTCTGCCTACATAAGGGCTTAATTACTTGGATTACCAAAAACAATAAAAATAAGATAGAGACTGCAAAGAGTACCAGCACAAATATCTATATGTTCTGATATCTACAAATATAGCTGTTGCTCAAATTTAATTAAAGTATAGGAAGGTGAGAAAGAGGAAGAGAACAAGCATTTATTAATCCCTTGCTATGTGCCAGGAACTGTGCTGAGCACTGTACAATTATCACCTCTTTTGATTCTCACAACAACCCTGAAAGGTTGGTGCTATTATTATCTCCATTTCTCAGATGAGGAAACTGAGGCAAACAAAAGTTAAGTGACTTGACCAGACAGAAGTTAAGTGATTTGCCCAGGATCACGTGGCTAGTAAGTGTTTCATGTTGGATTTGAACTTAGGGCTTCCAGAATCCAGAATCAGTGCTCTATCTACTTCATTATCTAACTACTTATACTCCTAGCCTGAATTTGGAGAAGATGAAAAACAGCTCATTACTTTCTTCATTATGCTTCCCTTATCTTGCAACTAAAAATATTTTTATTTATTTATATTATTTTATCTTACATTATTATGTATATTATTTATATTATATATATATTATTTATTTTTATTTATAGTTAGATGTTAGCAATGTACTTGGGGAAAAGTGTCTAACATGATATCCTTAAGCACAAGATTGAATGATGTTGATTGAATGCTGGTGTAGCTAGATGGGTTCAGAACTGGCTGACTTGACAGTACAGTTAGATGAGTTCAGAAGTGGTTGACTGATGGGACCCAAAATGTGTTGATTAACAGATCAAAGACAACCTGGTAGAAGAGGTCTTTGATAGAACATCCCCAAGTTCTTTCCTTGACCCTCTTCTGGTCAACATTTTTAAGGCAGAAATGCACACAGATGTAAAAGTACTTTGTAATGAGCTATACTGTACCACATCGAATGAAAGATGAAGAATTCTTATTTAATTTATAAATGTTTATGAATCTGGGAGGGATAGCTAATACGTTGTGTGAATGAATTGGGGTTCAAAAAGATCTTTTTTTTTTTTAGTGAGGCAATCAGGGTTAAGTGACTTGCCCAAAGTCACACAGCTAGAATGTGTCAAGTGTTTGGTCTGAGGTTGGATTTGAACTCAGGTCCTCCTGACTTCAGGGCCGGTGCTCTATCCACTGCACCACCTAGCTGCCCCCAAAAACATCTTGACAGGCTGGAGTGGTAAGTTCAAACTGACAAATGACATTAATAGGGATGAACATAAAGTCCTGGATTTGGGTCCCAAAGATCAATTGCAGAAGTACTGAAGGACTATAAAAGAGAGATGATGTGCCTAGAAATCAGTATTTGTGGGGAAAAAAAGACTTAGGAATTATGGCAGAATGCAGGCTCTATATGAGTCAACAATGTTGCATCTCTGCCAAAAAGCTAATGCTATCTTGGGCTTTGTTACTAGAAGTTCACTGTTCAAAACAAAGAAGAGACAGTCCAATACACTCCCCCCCACATTATCATGCATATTATTTATTTATTTATATTATGAATATTATATTATTTATTTTTATTTATAGTTAGATTTTAGCAATGTACTCCCTCTCCCTCTCCCTCATATGGAAAAGGTTTCTAACAATTAGAACTGGTTACAGATGAGACAAACATATATCCAAAACAAGGACAGCATTTGATTTGACGCTGGAAATAGCAGACAGAATTCATCATTTGGTGCAGCAGAACGAAGTCTAGATTTGGAGCTATGGGGCCTGGCTTTGATCCTGCCTCTGCCACTTACTACTTAGTACAAGACTGGGCAAATCACCTATTTTACCTCTGTGGGTTTCAGTTTTCTCCCATGTAAAACAATAGAATTGGACAGGATGACCGCTGAGGTTCCCTCCAACTCTCAAATTCTATGACTTCTCTATGTTCTATAAGCTCTCCAAGTAGGAAAAGTAGAAGCAGGGAGAGGCAGTCACTAAACTTGGTGTTTTGTGACAGGTACCTCAGTCAGCAGCTTTGTCTGTCCCTCCAGATAGACTTCACTTGGGCC